AAGCGATCAACGGGTGCACTACTGGCCGCTGAAGCATTGAATTTTTTATTTAAAAAACTTTAATCGTAATGGTTCACAAAGTTGAACAATTCTGAAAAGCATTCTAAGTTATTTTATTAAGATGTAGAGTTGAAGTAAGTATTCGAGATACAAACGCCAGACACTTTCAAGAAAAAGAATTTAAGATACTTGTACATCTACAGACATATCTCAGTCCAACGAATAGATAAATCCGAATAGGAGGGTTCAATTACAAGTAGAGGCGATTGTACTCAATTAAAAAAATTGGACGGAATTAATAATAGTTCAAAGTTGCAATCACAAATTACTCGGCTTCACGCTGACTAAGGTGACTCTGCTCGACCCAACCCACGGAGGAATTCCTCATGTTCCTCTTTGGGTCTGGTTGCAGACGATTTTTTTTTGTTGCATTGTTTTCCTTTTTAACTGGGGGCCGGCCTCGGGGGGGGGGGGGGGGGGGGGGATGGGCGTCGCCAAGGCTAAAAGCCGCCTGACTACTGCTCCGTCTCGAGATTTTCTCACGGGAGTCAATATCCCCTTCTATAAACATGGACAGGATACTCTGAAACGGTTGAGTGCAATTTGCAAAAGAAGAATCGCTCGAAATTGCATAACGTGGAAATGGCAGTTAACTACTGCACTTGAATGAGATCTGCAAAGAGGATAACGAAACCGAGAGAAGACGGCATTCGTCTTCCCATTCTACTTCGCTTTCCTTGTCCGAGGTGAAAAGATTATTGCGGAAGTGGTAAGTATGGAAGTCAGGGGCGGGCAATTATTTTGGGTGGAGGGCCACTTCACGAGTTTTTGGTGAGCTTCAAGGGCCGTACTCCAAAATCGGGAGAATGCATCGCTAGCACAATCACTGCTTGTCGGTCCTATTCCCTCGTTGGCAATAAAAACTGAACGATAGCTTCTTCGTTTTTCGACCATCCAGATTCTCGCAAAGAAAATCGCTGGTATATCGCTCTCAAAAACATTTCGTGTCGTTCATCTTCGATCGTGTTGAAGTGCACTGTGGTGTAGACTATAGGACTGTCCGTGACGAAATCCATTCCAATGGCTCGAATCCTAGAAAACCTCACTCGGTCGGAACAGCCAGATTCCCGATCCCAGATTGCCACAAATCCCAGAGTTGACAGGTTTCACGGTTGGGTCAGGCCATCCTGGGAAGCATGACATCTTCATAATTAATAACCTGAATCCCAAGAAAGCGCCATTCTGTAGTCGAAACATGGCATTTGAGGGGAGGAAAGGAGGGGGAAGAGGGCCTAATCATGACAAACGAAATGAGCAAGCTCAGCTCCTTCATGAATTAGAATTGGTCCTTTCCATGACTGAACGAAATATAATTTTTCCTCTTGCTAGACAGAGTGGCGGGCCGGATTCGGACCGCAGGCCGTATTTTGCCCACCTCTGATGTAAGTGGTACCCCTGAACCTTCCAGAAACTTCCAATAAGAGGGAAACTGGGTTTCTTATGCCACTATTTTTAATTGCTGTACTACAGTACAGCAATCGGCATTAACCCCTCGGGCTGGTTTGCCGTACAGGGTACGCCGAGTGTAAGGCTCCTTGTAAGAAAAAAAAAAAATTTCCTGCCATCTATTGATCGATTTTAGAACTGTTGGCTCAGATCAATTCTAGAGACATTTAAATACCCCACGTTGAGAAAAATACTCTTGCCATTTAAATACCGGCTTGGGGGGTTAACTGACTCTTTATCCTGCCCGATGAAGACTCCTTCGATGCAGAATACCCATACCGGATGGGATATTTAACTATTGCCCCTCGTGGTCTGGTAGTTTCAAACGACCCGAAGATTTTGATCTGAAATAGTCCTTTTCATTAATATATTTTATCAAGTATTTGAGATATTTTATTTATTTAAGCGTTTGTGAATGCTTCTCAAAGTCTTCACTTCTATCGATTCTAATTACAATCCACCTTCTTGTACTGAAAACAGCGGAAGGATCACGAGCTTCTCTTAAGGTGATGGCTCCGAAACGATCCACCATACTTTGATTCCTCAGAATCGTTTAACACAGTCATATCTGAAACATACATGCAAAATAGATTGATGTAGAGGACTTCTCCGCATAAAGATCTTCTGGTCGTTTGATTTGCCTGGCCATGGGGGGGGGGGGGGGGGGGAAACAATGTAAACGCTGGGAAGCATTTTTTTNGGGGGGGGGGGGGGGGGGGGGGGAGGAAACAATGTAAACGCTGTGAAGCATTATTATTGTTTGCGATTATTATTGTAGGCTCCTGAGGGTACCTTAGAGCACGAGACCCAGATGCCCATGTCAGTCGATCCTGAGATTCTCAACCGATCTGCGCTGCATCTCCAGACTGGGTTGCCATCTTCTAGTCAGATGCACTTTGGGGTTTTTAATCTTCAATGGATATGCACAAAAGGCTGGATTTTTGGAGGCTCGATTAAAAATATGCCGTTTTTCTTGATGTGCACCTTGACAGCGGTGTGCATCAGGTAAGAAGGAAAGCAAGGAGGAAATTAATCATTTGTTCATTATCAACACGATAAGGAAGAGGCCTGAAGTCCACAACGCGCCATCAAATTAGGAGAAACAACAGAGAAAAAATATACAACCCATGCAAGATCTTCTTGAACGGCGATGAGTAATTTTAGGACGAGATCAAGACGGATTATTACTTACGCAGCTGGGCAACTCCCAGTTTGAGGTAAATTTAGACTAACTCATCCCAATTTGTTCCACTTCAGTCGAAATCGTCAGGGTGAGCTACGTCTTCCATATCTTTCTAACGAAGGAGATTTTTGAAAAAGTTCCACCGATTCTTTCAATGAGAGGATACGAGATTAACGATGGCGTACACGATATCGCAATATTATCGAATCAAGATTATCGAAGATTATCCTTAATGATTCTCCCTAATTTTTCCAGCTTAATTATTCTAAGAAGTTTTTTTTTTAATTTATTGTCCTGGCTCTCTGCAGATTCACTGCAATCGTTTCCTCGACCCCTTAATATGGAGTACTCGCAGTGGGATTCAAGTCAAGGGAATTCCTCAATTCTGAAAATCCCTTCATCGCGGTATAAATCTCCTCCCCCAGACGGGAAAAATGGGTGAAAAGACCTCTCGAGATCTTACCATACGCTTCAGAGGGGAAAAAAAAAACAACAAACAAACATGATGTCCTCCTTTACATGAGAACATTACATGTTCCACAAACCCTATAACATCATCCAATCATAATTGGATCTTCCGAAATGTTCCAATATGAAAATATATGTTGTGTGTGAAATGCTTTCCAACTCCCTGCGACGTCATGAAATTCCACGGCCCCATATAAGAAAACTCAAAATGAAAACTGCCATCGAGACATCATGTACATGATAAACTTTTGAATTCGAGCTGATGAACCTCCAGTTAATTAAAGTTGAATAACTACAATCAATTGAACCGGAGCTGAAGAAACTGTAAACCATTTCGAGATGCTGAATGTCATTGAGAAATCCTTATCATCTTCATCTGGCCTTTTAAATCGATGTTGATGACTTACCTGTTCAATGCTGATCCCTTGATCGTGATCGTAAATCTGTCATGCATTCATCATCGGCGGCCCATTACAGGATACCAATTCCAAAAGAATTTCATCCTGTCCAATTCAATGGCTGCTCCAATCCAATGGCGTCTTTCTGAAACTTTTTATTATCGCTCCATCTTTACTTCGGTCTTCCGCTAAGATGCGTTCTCTCTCTCTCTCTCTCTGGGTTGATATTCAGTAAATATATATTTTTTAATCTATCGGCGGTCATTTCACGTTCGTGCTAGGCGCTCAGTCCAGGTCTGCTGGGTCTTCGCTTATTGAATTGGACTGGTTTTGTCATCCTCCGTTGCCATTCCTTTCGTAAGTCATGAACAGAACGTGATGGTTTTCCAACTTTGTGTTCCCGTATGTTGCTGATCTCTGTGCTAAAAGAAATGGATAGTGGCTTCTTCGTCAAAGAGCAGACAGAATTTCCTCACGAACTCGATCGTTCAAACATGCAGACGAATACGGAGAAGGGAATCTTAAAAATTCAGCGGAAGAGAAGCAAAATCCCGATGCGTGACGGGAACGGCGGAAAAAAAGCGTGCGCACTCATCGAAGACATACGTGCACTGACTTGCCGACCAGGTGAGGCAGCTGGACCGAGACTGCGCCTCGATCGTATGCAACCATCTCTTTCACCTGGATCAATGTGGACGTCTACCTGGAAGGCTCCGCATGATCTTCTTCGGATCTCCTTCCCCTAGCTCTTAAATACGTTCCGCGTGGACGATGGAGCACCTCGGCGCGAGAACGCCCACCACGTCGGTCGAGTTCCCTCTTTTCGCACAAAGGATGAGTGACTGAAGCCGGTATTCAAGAGAGTGATCGACCGATCTTTTGAGGCCTCGATGTATGTAAACCGGGATGAAGAGAGTGTAAACCATAACGACATACTACGAGGTAGCACGGATTTGTTTATTTTCCTTGTCTTCAAGTAGTTTTGATATCGGATTTGGGCTACCGGGCTACCGAAGATTGGGAAAAGGGGATTCCCGGTGAGTAGGCTCATTCGTGGGAACGTGGGAACTCCTCCGCGCCTGGAATATGTCTTCAATCCCCATAATTCATGACGATGCCACCGCTTTCGTGGAATTTATCGATCGTCTGTTTAGACAAAGTGTTTACTGCGAAGCAATGACGACATCTGCCCGAGGTTTCGAGGTTGGCGCCGCAATCCCGGTAACGTCTCGGTCTGAAAATCACAGGTTCGTTCTTTTTTAAATCCCGGATCCAAAGAGGATAGACCTCCCGCTAAATTTGACACAAGGTTCTCCTTTTTAGCGATTCGGAACGAGGGGGTGAGCGAAGGATCCTATAGGGCGAGGCGTTTCCTTAGAAACCGCCTTAGCGTATCCCATTGGCGAATCTGCACTCTGGCCCCTCCTCTACCAGAGGCCACGAACCACGCATGCTTCGAGATAAATGCTCCGATGACACATGGCGAGAGGAATCTTCAAGCTTGGATTCCTGTGTCAATAAGTGTTTGTCTTAGGGCGAGGTTACATGTTTACTTAGTCCCCTGTGGCTCGACTTCGGGATCCTCGGTGTGCCTTCTCTTTTTCGGATTTCATGTGATGGGGACTTGTGATTTCAACAACCAGAGCACAGACACGGGGATTCCCGAAGATCATGCCTCGATCCCGGGATCCACGACGCCCGTGGGATCTTCGACGCCAATCGCGTCCATGCCGACCGGCCCGACCCCGACTCCCGTGGCTTCTCTGCCCACCGACGTCTCTCAATCTGCTCCTTCGATGGCGGAAAACGGCGCCGTCGCCGCTCTCGGCGGGGAAGGAAACGGGAAGACGGCGAAGAAAGGGAATCAGGGGATCCGTCGGCAAGAAAAACCTCCGTATTCTTACATCGCACTGATCGTCATGGCGATCCAGAATTCACCGACGAAGCGTTTGACCTTGAGCGAGATCTATCAGTTTCTCCAGCGCAAATTCCAGTTCTTTCGTGGATCCTACACGGGATGGAAGAATTCGGTCCGTCACAACCTCAGCCTGAACGAATGCTTCATCAAGCTCCCCAAAGGCCTGGGACGGCCGGGCAAAGGTCACTACTGGACCATCGACCCGGCGTCCGAAGTGATGTTCGAAGAAGGCAGCTACCGTCGGAGACCGCGCGGTTTTCGACGCAAATGTCGGGCTTTGACCAAGCCTTACGGCTACTACGGGAACGGGGCGAGCACGACTCAATCCACGGGTTTCTCCGGTCAGAACGGATACGACATGCTGTCTCAAGCCGGCACCTGTCCCACTCAAGATTTCTCCGGTCTGAACCCGAATCAATTCGAGATCCCGAACGGAACGTGCAACTTCTCGCCGTCGGTGAACTGCGGCACTTACTTACCTCCGCCTCCGCCGCCTCCATCCTCTTGCCCGTTACCCAGCATGCCCCTGAGCCCGGCCTACGGGAACGGAAACGGCGTCTGCTCTTATTCCTCCGTCGAATACACGACTCCCGTGTATTCTCCGTCTCCGATGTCCTACTCAAACTCTCCGATCGGCGGCGGCAACGATCGAGACGGAGGTTTCATGATCAATTCTTGGTCGTCTGGATACGGCTCGGGCTCTCACGTCTACTTGAAGAATCCTCCGCTGAGTCCCTGCACGGAGTCTCCCGAGTCTCTGCAATGCCTGTCTCCGGTTTCTCTCGATCCGCACCAGACCGGCCTGGCTCAGCCTTATCAGCTCTCGGATTTCGACACCCCTGGTTCCTCATCCGAAGTCGGAGATCTCGGTCTCCAAGGTGAGACTCTCTCTCTCTCTCATATATATTTTGTCGACTCGGGGTTTTTGCATACGATTCTGCCTTCCCGCAAATCCGGGGCGGCAAACTACCAGAAACGTCCCAGAAACTGAAATTCCCGAACAAGAACGTCGAACATTTCTCTTTATCACATCCCTGTCGATTATATCATCCCTTGACAGTTGTGGTCGACGAGGCCCTTTAAATACAGTACAAAAAAAATGCATGTGAAAGACGAGAGCTAGAAGCCAACGCGGTACCACGAGCCTGAGAAGAAAAAGTAAGATGTGACCCGGAGAATTAACTCTTAGGGTGGATTTTTGGACAGAGCATTATCCGATAATCCGGTAAATAAAGCTGCATTATCGGATAGTTCTCTGCTCAAAAATCCACCCTTAAGCTTATTACATGGCATCTTGTAAGCGAAGCTCCAAAAGCGATAAAAAGACATTCCTGTTAATCACCGAAATGCGACTTGGCGGGTGAGATGATATGTCTACCCAAAGTCCTTTGTCACTCGAATGTTTTCGATTCAGAAAGCCAGTCACGGCTCCCACCATGAGTCGTGAAAAAAAAAAAACAAAACAAATTTAATCGAAGAAAAAGGAAAAGGAACGTAGTTCCAGAAATCAGGCGGCAGTTAACAGAATTTGTGTCCGGTCTACGCTACGAAATAGGGTTTGTTGGAACGACATTCAACACCTTTAGGAATTCTTTTCCCATTACGTGAACCAGCCCCGCGAAATGATCCACGACTCAAGTTGCATCGATCCAAACCCAGAAGGGCACTGCACGGCATTTGCATTGGCAAATATTACATTTGGTTTAAGGAAGCGATGACTCGTTCCCTTTTTATTTAGGGCTTTCTCAATCCCGCCGATCCCTCAGCAAAAACGACTGCAGTCTCACCTGAAATGCACTCGCAATATCGGCGGGAGAAACTCTTCGGATCGGACACGAGTAACGACTGACGGTATTCGGAGTTGATGCCACCTTTTTACGTTTCCGAAATGCCATTTGTGTATTTCCACGACATAATATTTTGCATCTCTCGCTCTTGGAAGCCATAACAGTTTACAGTAATTTGCCACAGTGTATATTGTCGGGTGGAAGCCGGGGAAGGGAGAATTGTTTTAATATCATCGCGAGAGGCGCGAAATCCATAGGCAAACATTTACATGTTGGGCCGCAGGAGCCGTTCCGCTTTGATGATCGCGGTCATCCACGCCTAAATATTACTACATGAGATTATTACCCGCTTCCCCTCCGCGACACAGGCCACATGCAAGTGCGAAGGCAGGGAATCACGATGCTGGAGCAATGACAGGGTAAAGGAGGGAAGGGGGGGGGGGGGGGGGGGGGGGGGGGGAAAAGGGGGGGGGGGAAGGGGGATTTTTGTGAAATTGCTTGTTTGGTACAATGGCTGGAGAAAAATGGACAAGAATATTACAAAGTTTAGAGGATAAACAGTGGCATAGGGAAGGGGGAGGGGGAAAGGGGAAGAGCAAGAAAAAATTCAACGCAGTTTCTCATCAGTGTCAGATGAACCCATTCGATGCGTAAGTAAATGGTTTCATTACGGCGTCATTACGCCCCAACAGACGCATCAAGGAAGAGCGACTCGCATCTTCAAAGTACTAGCTAAATATTGAGACCACCGGTATTCCACTTTAGTCCGATGGACCCCAACTTCTTGGCTGAATTTTGGTGAAATCTCGTGGAATGGCCTCATCTCGACACATCAAGAGCGCGATGAGTTCGAGGCCCCATCACGTCGTGTTCCTTATCATCGCCATTAAATTTTCCTTCCAAACCTGGCCCGCCAAAATAACGTGAACATTAATGTGGCACTGATTTCATTCGGTCGTGAACTGGAGCTGTACACAGAGCTGTACACATCTCACCACGATCCTTGAGTTCCGTCTAGCCACATAGAACGGCAAACAAATCATGGTCTGCTCGCTGAAGCTACTAGAAATTGAGACAGGAAATAGCCATACTCGACCCAGAACCCGTTCTAATCGGTTCGGTTCTCCACCTTTGGCATCGACAGGCACTTTCAGCAACATCTAGCATTATTTCCGCCTGCAGCCCTAAAGCCGTGCGACGAGTTCGAGCGGAAGTCAGGTAGAATTCTTGGTATTTCTGGCCTGCAGCAGACGAAAGGAGAAGCTGACTCAAGATTGACTCAGGGTGAGCGGAGATCCTCGTCGAGTTTGAGAGCTTCATTGCACAAACGTATCGGCGCCGAATGGACGAACGGGGACGAAAACTTCATGAAAACTTTCCACCAATCCATTCGCTGGGGTAGAACGAAATTGAATGTAAAAAAAAATGTGAGGACTTAAAATTTCGCGTTTGAAAAAGAGCTTTACAATGATTTCCGGTTTTTCTGTGCCTGGAACAAAGTGAAAGGAATTTTCACGCGTGAAACTTTATAGGCATCAGAGTTTCCATTTGACATAATTCAAAATGTGATTGTTCTTAAGTGTTGTGCTTGTGGGAAATGAGAGACTGGGCTTTACTCGATGAGAAATCTCACCTGCTTGAAAGAGTCATTTCCGAGTCTTGCAGGTGGCGCATAAACATTTATGGAAGGAAGTGCTTCGGAAAAGATGCTACGAATCATGTCAACTCGGCAAATTTTGCCCAGCCCCGCCAATTACTGACTTGTCAACGAGAAGGAAGTAGAAAGAGGCAGAGGAACGGGAAGCGGGGAGGCCCGATTACACGGGTCACTTCCCTCCGCATTCTATTGGCGAGGGAGAAGGGAAAAACTGGCTGCTAATGAGACAGCGTGCCGAGTCTGTAATCTGTTCATTCCGCGAGGCATGTGCAAACTGTCTCTTTGATGAGCAATTAGGGCCAGGGTTTCGGATTCCCGTCACAATGAGCCATCTTGCCCCACTTATGTCTTAGCTCTCTTCCCCTTATCCTACATCCAACGACGCCCGACGCCCGCGTCAATGAAGGATAGGTAAACCTATGATGAAAAAAAGAAGTCATCGTCGAGGAAGACGTCTGCTGAAGTGCCTTGTCCTTTCTGGCGCACAACGTACCTACCTATGTGTGCTTACTAATGTCCGGTCTCCAAGGGGTCGACCTCTTCGTCAGTGTCCTTGGTAAATGTGACAAATCGCTAAAGGTGAAGGTCATGAACAGGAGAAGGCAAGGGACCCCTTCATAACCGTTCGCCTCAATGGACGTGGCCCCTTGCGCAGATGGTTTTCATTTCCTGTGGCTGGGACGGGGCTTTACGATGACGGCCGCGGTTACTTTAGTTGGTGCTCGGACTTTTCCCGAGCCTCAGCATATGAGATTCCGCTAGACGATCCATATGGCACCACCACATGATTTTTGGTCGAGGTATTGCGAACTCAGGAACGGAAAATGCAGCCTATTAGAGTTATCCCCAAAGTCCAGCTTACAAATGGAGCTGAAATATAGAGAGGGAGGGGAGACACGTGCATGGCGATATTTGGGTAAGATCACCTATATCTGGGGGAGGGGAGTCAAACGGAAGTGCGATGGGAGCTTGTAATGGACTTCACCAGATGGGGAGAAGGTGAATGAATCCCGTTGATGGAGCTAAATGGAGAGGTCTATGGTCCGCGCTGCTGGAAGAATGGACTGATGGGGATATTTAAAAGACGGGGACCACCCACATGTGTCTGGGCTCTTTGGCTCCAGGGATTCTGTCTCCAGGAAGTTCCTCTTCTCCATTCCTATCATCTACATCCCTTCCTTGTCCTTCCCCCCTTTATCGCTTCTTTCTCGGGTCCTCTTCTCATTTCCATTTCACGGTGTCTGTCTCCTGGGACAATACGAGGGCTGTTCATTTTATTCACGGACAGGGTCAGCAAGGACAGGAGTCCCCTTCCGCGTGTCCGAGTCTGTGAATTAAATGAACAGCCCTCGTATTTCCAATGAAACCCGTTCAATTCCATTCTTTCTTGCTGGGTTTAGGCACCTTTAAGAACACGGAGGATGATGATTCGATAGAGTGGAACAAAATTCGTTCACTATACGGATGCTAAAAAACATCGAAATAAATAACGTCGACCTGTCACGTTTTGTCGTTACCTCCTCAGGAGTTACGAAAAAAATAACGAAATGCAGACGAGACAGCCCCAGCATCATCACAGTGTACAACGAAAGATGAATGGCATTGCTATGAATGTCGCCGAAAGAAATGGGACAGAACAAACTGACTCTTGCTGGTGCCGTATCCCTTACGAAAAGATCCTATAGGATCTGATGAGATTTTTGAAACATAAAAATCTTATAGGATTCTTATAAGAATCCCATAGAGTTCCTTTAGGATCCTATAGGATTCTTATAAGATCCTATAGGAATCCTTTAAGAATCCTATAAGAATCCTATAGGAATTCTATGAGATTTTTATGTTTCAAAAATCTTATAGGATCCTATAGGATCTTTTCGTAAGGGATTCCATGCGATATAGTTTTTACTAGTTCAACATCAATAAACGGTTACTTTGGATTCATTACAACGAGATTATGATTCTTTGTTTGTGATTCTTCACTTATAACGTTACAGGCACCTAGAATAGCCTAATGGACCTGTGTTTATAGGACATTCACTTTTAATTGGGTAAACCCCAGAACAAATATGGGATCAATGATTCCGACAGAGAGGCTTCAACTCGCCGCCATCCTAGGGGTCTTTCGCTCCTCGAGTCCAGAGTGACATCATTGTTTTTCTGACAGATGTAACAGTCTTTTGGTCCTTTGTCCTATGCCGCTGCGTCAAGCGTTTCCTTGTTTCTGTAATCGTGCTCATAATGGGGAAGTGTCGGCTAGGCTCATGTGTCCAGCTGCTCCCATGCATGGCATGGCGTTGGACATGGGAGTGGGTCATGGGGCTAGTGCAACTTCCCATTATGGATCCCGGTGACGAAAGAGATCCTTCCAGCCGCCTCCTTCTCAAAAAATATTTTGTCTGGATAATTTCTTTCCCGAAGCTCGTGTTTCAGAGCTGTTTTTGTTGTGTTTCACCCGCTGAGGTGGTCGGTCACAGGATCCAGCGCCTTTCAGACGCCAAGTCTGTCTTCTTCCATCAACCCCTTGTTCCCTCTGCTCCCGTCTAGGGTCATCAGTTTTTTTTCATGCCTCTCTCATGTGTGACTGATGGGCAATGCCCATCTTCAGCTTTTCAACCCCGAAGATATTGCAGCTTTACAACACTTAAGTCCCCCTACTTAATTTTTTTTTTTTTACCTCAATCCCATGGGAAACAGGGGCAATGCACATGTACATGGTATGATATGAAATTCCCGTCTGTTTCGTTCTTTACAGGAATCCGAATTCTTCAACCGATGCACTGTGGAGACAGAAAGCCCCAATTTTCGGCTCTATCGCCACCACCACCAGTGTCCACACCTAGCCAGTACATGGACTGCAATAAGTATTGCCTGTGAGAAAAAACTTCTTCCCGTCCCATCTCGTGCCTTCTATCGTTGTCAATCAAAAATTCTCCTGTGTCCCCCTCTCGTCGTTCATTGTTTATTTAATATGTTCTTTTTGTGCCGACGGAGCTATGTCCACATGGAAGTCCGTGCCTCTATGGATGAGTGCTCGTCTCACGAGATGGTAGTCACCCCAGTCCTCTCAAGTGAAAAAGAGAACGATATCCATATATAATATATGTGAGGACCGTGATACCCGTGCTCGAGACCTAAGCCGTGTAGTGTTTCAGGTTACCCCGATTTGATACGCTTAAAGAAGAAACCGATCGTGGTGAATGTATAATGAATGAGGAGCTCGTCAATAAAGAAAACTCACCACACACCTTCATGCCAATGATTTTTTTTAACAAGTCTATTTTCTCAACTAAGTAATCAGACGCCGTCTGGAGATGGAATCCTCTCCCTCCCGCAAGCTAGAGATGTCAATCATCGCTCCTACGTTCGAGGAAGATGGGGTTTCTCATTTCAGGCGCCTCCGAAGGGTCTTATCGAGAGAGAGAGAGAGAGAGCCATGCTGGCCAAGATCAAGTTACGCTTGATGACCCTATGGCCACGGATCCAATATTCGGGACACTCGGGAGATTTAGATTCGTTCCTGGAAGCAGTACAGGTCAGAGAAAAAAAAATAAAAATAAAACTATGGGGAGAAAAAATCCGGAGAAGAGGAGCAGAGATTTCTCAAGAGGTTGAGCAAACAAACAACATGCCCAGTCGGAGAAGGGATAGCATACCTGCAACTTGTTCTTTCACGCTTCTGCCCCGTGAATGAATGAGATTCAATGAATAATTGACCTTTCTTGCCAAGATGTGCCCCAACACCGGAGATTCCCCAGACTTTCCTCCGCCCTTTCCCTCCTATGGTAGCGCCTCCCCTAAATATAACAGTTCCACTTGGATGGGCTCATTGTTCACAGGATGGGCCAGACACTCAGCAAGTCATTTAGGCCAACAGCCAGAATCCCCCCCCCCCTTTTTGCTACGTCTATCTTGCACAGTCTCTGTTCTCCAAGCTAAGCACCAACAAGGAAGATCACTCTTTCATTCCTTGGCTGTGGCCCTTTCAGTCAAGAAGGAAAAATGACCAAAAAAAGAGAGGTAGAAATAAGAGATGACCATACTTCTATTTCATCATGTTGCATTAAATTTGTTTATGCATAACCTCTCCCTTCATTTTTGCACATTTGATGTACTTATAAAGCACACAATGAAAGAACAACCAGTGTGACAGAGATGTTCATATGGAAACATCAACCATGTTTTTCAAGACGATTGGGGTCTTGCATTAGTATATCCACCAAGTCATTCTTCAGTTCATATGTTTTCCCATCCCAAGTGAAATGTGTTGGAGGATTTTGGTCCCCATTTTCAAACTTGAAATGGGTACTGAACTCAATGGCAAGGCCAGAACGAATTAGTCCCACTCCACCCACTTTTTCAGCAGCTGGATGGTAAATTCTTCCTGTTTGAGGCAACATGCACACTCGATCTGGTTCAAATGGGGTCACAAGATATTCTCCTGCGTGGGCATAGCCAAAGTCATACCAAGAGTCCCTCTTGATCAAATGGGTGTACACTATTGGAGTGTCATCACAACGGATGAAGTTTCTCTCAAGTCCACAAGGAGAAAGCCATGGAAAGCTGTCCATGTAGCGTCCAGTTTTATTGTGATGAATTTGGCGAAAGAAGAAGCGCAGGAACTTTTTTTCTGCAATAAGAAGTCAGGGATGTGAATCTCTTGTTGTATTTGTAATGATAAGATTCTGACAAGACTAATATTGTCTATAATGAGCGTATCTCGTTACCTTTGAGGCAAGAGGTGAAGTTCTTCATCTTTGCATCATCCAGAAATAACTGGGATACCATGTGAATGACAAAATGAAAGAGAAAACATCAGGGCCACCATCAAGTGTTAAAAAAAAATCAAAGTGAGAAGAAAATTGGAAGTGACACTTCCTAGTATTATTCATTATAGTTGTAAAAGTGTGCCTCTTCAGAAGATTTATATCAGTAAACATTACATCATATTCATTGAAATAACAAGTGACCTGAGAATGCTGAAAATATTCTTTAGCATGATTTAATCATGGTATTCAATACCATTGGAAATACTGGTATCACATTGCCTTGTTAACACAAAGGAAATTCATGCTGGCACACTTTTACTCTGGTGTGAATATCATTGAATGACAACTGCGAATGTGCAGTACAATTACTGCAGCCAAGAATGAGTGGGCATACCTAGGGTCTCAATTCTCTTTCCTTTGACAATAATTAAATTATTATTCACCCATCCTTTACTTATTCACCAAATTTAGACCTGAATTTGTATTGAACAAAAGCATGGGGTGGACATGATGAGGATAGTAACAAAAATTTGACTGTTTCATTAACTATGGAATGAAAGACTGCAGAACAAATTTAACGTCCTTCCTCCTCATTTTGAACTATGAGGAACTCTACAAAAATAATGCCTTTTTTTAAATAAATAAAATTGGGGAAAATCTTCATAAGCTCTTCCTTGCAAACTCCAGATCAAGTCATAGGCAAATAATCATGCATGCTAATTCATCATCTCTTCAAACCTTCAATTGAATATAATCTGTGTCCATGACCTAAACAACCTTCAGTTTCTGAAATTGAACAATTAATAATCTGCTAAACATAAATATTGATGCAATGGTGTAAGTACCCAATGTTGAAGGGATGTGACTGTGTGGACTGTTTGAATGTTTTGCAAATAGGATCCTGGTTTCTATTTAAAAATTTTCTCTAAAAAATGAATCCCTGTATGTGTTTCAATTATAGATTGAGAAAAGGACTTGAAATGATATTAACCTTCCTACTAATAGTGTCATGAATGGCACCATAATATTTCAGAGCCCCCATACATTTAATCCAGAATAGAACTACATTGCTTTGCATTGTCTACGCTTCGATTGTGATTTAAAAAATAATTACAAACTGCCAACTAAGTACAATTAGAGCAGAAATCTGATTGACACTTATTCATCACTGCTGTTGAACAATAAATAATTTCATCAGAATGTCATTTCTGGTGCCAGTAGCCTCTTACTCCTTGTGATATTGAATGATGACAATAAACCAAAATATGTGCAAACTCCAAGTCCATGAATATATATATTTTTTAAATAATGGAACACCAAAAACTGACCATTCCCTGATGATCGATGTAATAGAAGTATTCTCTAATTTTTGGCTCTGGGGATTGCCCCTGCTCATAAAGCACATCAGATGAATGTCTGATGACTGAATGCCAGGCACCCTGAACTTGTCTTGGAATCCCATGAGTGCCAATCCTCGGTAAAAGTTTTAGGAACAGAGGCATTGCTCCACTTCATGAATTCAAGGCGCAGATCATGTGTCGTGGAAGACCAAGTATCTCTTGTCTAAACTACCAAGCCTCATTATTTATTTTACTGTGAAGAGATTCACCAGATATGAAAAGGAAAAGCCCATAAAAAGGATTAAATGCATATCACGCCTCGAAAGTTCTGGAGTAACATGCAAAACGCCAGAAAAGTCTTGCACAGACCTTAACCTAAGCGTACGTTAGGCCTACAGATTGCGGTCTAACATTAGCCTGCAATCTCTAATGTAAGCAAGTCTGCCCTTAAACTTCAATAAGGAAAGGCATTGTCATGTTAAGCGCAAGTTCCACTTCAGAAACAAGCTATGCACTTGAGTAAGTTATGCCTCATGACTTCGGAAAATCCTTGACGAAACCAACTACGACAGGAGTTACCAAGGCCAACAGGAGGCGCAAGGAAATCACGTGTTTGCATGCGGGCGCCCATGCTTGAATCCCGTGTAGAATTGACACACTCTGGCATCTGGCGAATGCTTTTCCAACTTCAAGTTTACCTACCTCTACAGTAGAGGGCTTCTTCACTGCGCGTGCTCTCCCTCGCTCAGACACTACTCATGTCAACGTAAATTTTAACCCGAAGGTATCGCTACCAAAGCATTGCCTAAATGGAGGTTTGTTGACGTGGCAAGTCCATCACGTGTTTCTACAACTTGACAGTTGTGTTTGCATTTCATTCTTTTTTCAAACGGAATAGATGAAAATGGTGCAGGTAATATAGATTATTGCATTGAACCCGACAGGCACTGGCATTCTTTTTTTTTTTATCGCCAAGAGAATGCGAGAAGGATGGGTCTCAAACAAAGGATTGACGTAGATTATTGTTGAAACCGACCGTCTGCTATAGGAATGCGGATCAGCGGAAGAGCGGCCGAAACTTGTTTGATCGATGAGCCGAAGAAAGTCTTCTCTCGGACGTCGAGAATGTCCCCCCTCGTGAACCTGCATCGTCTCTTCCAGCCCAATAGTCAAATTTGACCTAGGAGGTGCGAGGAAAATGAGCACTTCCGACGCCAGTGATGGAGATGTCATCGCCACCAAACACGTAAGTTTGATTTTCATGCCATTTTTGTCTGGGAGAACGGGAAAGCAGGGGGTTAATTATCAAGTACCATCTCCTAAGTTGAGATTTTGATTTATGCACCTTCTTTGGAGTCTGCAGCATGGAAACTAATTACAGCTTGAGTTTGGAACGTCGCACATTATATTCAGCCCCCCCTGAATTGCAGAATAGAATCATTGGTATTGGTGCTGCGGACTTCAAAAAAGGTGTTCTATTCCAGGAAGGATAAATGTGAGCCCATCGACTAAAAACGGAAATTATAACGCAAAGGAAAACCTATAAAACTTAAAAACCAAAACTTCTTTTCAAATCAGCCCTCACCTTCGAAGAAAGTGGTTACACCGGAACCAGACCGAAAGGCACGTAGAGGTGACCTCGATCAACGTTATGAATATATATTCTCCGTACTATGCAACATAACTGGGTTGCATCGTATGGACATCTTGGATCACTTCCTCCATGGAAATCAGGTTAATCAACTTCCATCCAACTTCTAACGTCGCTGCGGGTCTCACAAAACAATCTTTTAAAAGATTTTTCCCCCTCCTCCCCCCACCCCCCACCCCACCCTCCTCATCCCCCTCTCCGCGACGGCGTCCATCGCCCCTTATCACACAAATGCAGCTGGACGACGTGAGCATATTTTTCTCGGCCGGAGGATCTCGGAAGTTAGTTTGGTTCTACCAAGACGTTGAGGATTGGGAAGGGAAAGGAGGGGCGGAATCCAGAGGAGAGGGGCAACGTCTTGGTACGAGGTGGAAGCAATCTTCACCAATGGTGAAGAAGCGACTCTTCCTCGCCGATCCTTCCTCCGTCTCGCTGAAGGGTATCTGCATTTACGCCCTCAAGATGAATCCCGAGAAAAACATCACCGAAGACAACATCCCAAAGGTTTCATCCCTTCTCCCCGGGAGTGTCTGCGGCTCGATATCGAAAGTCAGTTCTTTGCATTCGCAGGAGGTCTCGTTCGGGTGCGTGATGGGGGAAGACAACGGGCTACTGAGTACGTTCGAAAGACTCCTAGCCAAGATGTACGTGCCGGTGCTGAATGAAAACGGGACAGACCTGGACAAAAATTCGGCCGGGATTGCAGCCAAAGACGAGCTTCTTGCCTGCCTCCAATCCGTCTCCAGCACGCTCTTGGGTCTTTACATCTCTCAGCCCATCTTCTCCTTTTGCAACTTGCATATTTGAGTTTTCTTTTCTTTTCTCAGCCTCCGAAGAGGCCCTCGTGGAGAAAGTGATCCTCCCCGAAGGCCAAGTGAATATGAGTGAAGTCTCCACTAGGGAAGAAATAACTAATATAGTATCCTTGCCACAAAATGTCATGGCGTTAGAAAATGCCATGAAATCTTGGATTGCACGCATAGAGAAGGTGAGTCATTTCATTTCGCAATTCAGCTACCTCAGGACTTTGTTAACGCTTTTCCTCTTTCAATTGGTGCACTTTAGGTCCTCATCGAAGGGAATCAATTAAGGAAAGAGGTCGATGAAGCCGGACCGCAGAAAGAACTGGAGTACTGGAAAAAGCGTACTTGTCAGTTCTATTGCCTCATGGAACAGATCAAGAGCCCTCAGGTATGAGACTGTTTCAAATGCATGATGCATAAAAGCCTTCGAGTGCGTATAAAAAAAAAGGAGCTGCACACATGTACTGCGATGTAGGTGAAGATGACAGTGCTTGCCTTGCAAACGGTGAAGTCAAGACTGTTGAAACCGTGGCGACAGATTGAGCACGGAGTCACCGATGGAATCACGAAGGCCCGAAACAACGTCAAGTACATTTCATCTATTGAAAAACAATGTAACCCGCTCTATCTCGGCGATCCGGTGAGTCCAAAAAAATATCCGGGATGTTAATGAAATACCATCGACGAGAACCGGTTATAATGCGAGCCTGTTTTTCATAGATCACGCTGGTGAAGGTCCTCCCTGGTCTATTCAACACCATCAGAATGATCCACCTCGTATCTCCGTATTACAACACCTCGGAGCGACTTTCCGGACTCCTCATAAAGGTACAGTACATCGATATGCGTCAAGTTTATTTCCTTGCCCTTCATCTCGACACCGAAGACAGTTTTACTCTTTCATCCTCGAGCAGATCACGAACCAGATGATAAAGACATGCAAGCGATACGTGACGAATCACGGAATAGAAACGGTGTGGACGCAGCCGCGAGACCTGGTCAAGGAAAAGCTGAACCACTGCCTCCAGCTGAATTCCGAATACCGTCGGGCTTACGTCTCGGCTCAAGAAACCCTGAGGGAGAACGAGGAGCCTCCCTTTCAATTCTCTCAACAATACGTCTTTGGGAAATTCCACGCTTTCAGCAAACGGCTCCAACGGATCCTGGATCTCTTCGCCATCATCGACAAATACAACCGATTCCTTCATGCTCGGGTTGACGGTAAGGGGCATTGGTTGCAAACATTGGCAAAGTTTCACCCGATTACGAGAAATTAATATATTTATTCGCCCTTTACAGGCCTTTTACCAGAGGATAAAGGTGAGTTCTCGCACGTCTCGACGATTGAGACGACCTCATCTGTCTCCTTGACCCAAAATGACTCGATTACGTAGCTTTGGAGGAGATCATCGCAAGCTTTGAGGAGATGGCAGACTCCATGACGAGGAAACCTTACGACTGCCTGGATTACCAGAATCGAGCTTTCGACCATGACTGCGATCATTTCGTGGAGCGAGTGAATCTCTTGATCGGGAAGATCCGTGAAATGCTGGAGTCGCAGTTCCAGACCGTCTGGACATCTCCTCAAGGGTATCAATTCCTACTTCGATTCGAAAAGATAGCCGACAGCGTCCCGGGCATCGACATTGGCCAAAAGTATGCTGCCATCTTGAAAACCTATACAAAAACCTTGGACAAGATCAAAGATGCTTACAATAAGAACAAGGAAATCCCGCCGATACAAAGGGCATTACCTCCCGTTGCAGGTGCTGAAACGATTTGATCTTCTCGTGATCCTGGGAGATAGAATGCATGACCAGGTGTTTTGTCAACAGGTTCAATTTGGTGGGTGCGAGGACTGTTTGAGCACATTGCAGGGCCCATGAGACAATTCAAAGGGCATTCCAGGATCCTGAAGCAGCCCGATGCTGGAAAGCTCATTCGCAGATTCACACTGATCAGTGAGGCACTGACGGAATTCGAGATTCAGTTGCATGCCCTTTGGAAGAGCGAAAACGTGAGTTTGAGCCTGTGCACGTATGGCATGCTTATGATTTCATAGAGAAGAACGTCCTATCGAACCAACATAACTTTTTTTGGAACTCCAGATTTCGCACGTACAGAACAGCTTGTCGTCGCGACTTCTGATCCGCCATCCAGATTTGGGATACGTCATAGTAAATTTCGATTCGGAGATCTCCATTCTCATTCGGGAAGCTGAATGTCTCCGGAAGATGGAGTTGTCTGTGCCTGGGATCACGGAAGCCCTGAGCGCCTGCAAGGGCCCCCTCACGGAGAAGAAATCCCTTCTCGAGGTATAGCAAAGGAGGAAAATTGTGCATCCGGGATAGTGGTGAAAAAAAGAGCATATTGTAGTACTAAAATGGGCTTGGTTTGCAAAGCATTTGCTGCGGGAGAACAGCCGGGTGAGGAACGCGATTCCTGGGATGTTGCGGCCGATGTTGGTAAGTCATCTTGGGCGCCTGGATGAGGCCATGGAGGCTGCCTTCAGCAAACTGGCTTGGACCTCTCTTCGAGTCCCTCAGTTCGTGGAAATGGCCATCACGGCTCTCAGCCAGTTTGAGACTCTCGTCAACAGGTGTCACGCCCTTATTGCATCTTGTGGATTCCTTGCCATACCTTGTTCTATGGTTCCGTCTCGCACATTGCTCCGTTTGAATTGCACCTCATAGGTTGTCCGACATCTACCGTAATCGAATCGAAGCAGTACTTCTCAGCATGCACGGGATCATCTTTCACACCTTACCCGATAACATTCCTTGGACGCTGGAAGAATTCCTCGAACGCACTCACGATTCCTGTCTCAAATCCGCGAGGCTCTTCCAGAGTCGCAATGAAGTAAGATTCCAAGGCGGCAGCAGGACTTGATCGAGCCACAACACGAGGATAATCCAGCACGAATGATCGTTCTGCCCATGCAGCTGATGGAGGAGTCCGTGATGGAACTGTTGAACCTCATCCTCCAGACAGATCCTCTGCAAGGAGACGAAGAAGAGCTCGACCACGACGACCCGGAGAAGAAGCCAGGTCCTTCCTCACTTTTTATAACGGAGCTTTTCTCGGATTCATGCAGTTAAAATTGGAATCGATTCCGGTGGAACTGCTCGCAGGAGGGACGAAGCAGCCGAGCTTGCTGGAACCACCGCCAGGAACTGGGGTGGCTCCGACGACCTACAGGCAAAAGGCGTTGAAAAGGAGGCGAGAATTGAAAGAACGGATCGATCATGCAGCCTCGGAACTTCGAAGGTATTACAACATGCGGATCCTGGAAGTCCTGGTCAAGATCACAAGAAATGCCTTGGACGAAATTCGCAAGAGGGTCCTTCACGTCAGACCCGAACCAGGTTCGTTCCGTGCCATTCATAGCTCGCATCGGATCCTAAATGGTTTCCATTCCTTGGGGATTGATTCGATGATGATGGGGGTCAGATGGAAGCCCTGCCCCACCGTCATCTCTCGGACTTGGAGAATCTTCCACTCCGATGTTTTCGCTTTCGACTCATCTCTCTATCCCCCAAGTGAAAGTTCAACCTTCTGTCGATGAAGTCCAAGATACAATCATCAAAGGAGCCATGGTGATCATCAGCGTCTCGAAAGGAGTCTGTCAATGGATTAAGCACCAGAAATTCCCACAGGTAAAGTTCTCAACAGTCCCTCCTCGATCTTCAGGCTCTCTCTGTTGTAAATCGGTAAATCGACCTTGAGGCTTCTGCCTTAGGATTCAGTGCCAGAGAAACAGACGGGAACTCGACGTCCATGGAATTCGAAGAGGATCCCATCAGAGGAGAGATATGTCATTCCAGCTCAGCCGAAGAATTTCTACCAGCATGTTCTCGAGCACAAGGACATCTCTAAGGCCATCTCCCAGATCTCAACATGTCTCCAAAGCACAAAATTGGTCAGTCTCCAATTTTCACTTTTCTAACCCTTTCCCCTTTTACCAAGAATAAAAATTTGCTTCTGCAGGAGCTTCAAGACATTTTCGAACGCTGGCAACGATACTTTGAACTGTGGAATGACGAAAGGGAAGGGACCGTGAGGGCCTTCCTCCAGACATCCCCCTCCATCACGGATTTCGAAGACAAGATCTCCTATTACTTGGACATGGAGAGGGCCATTTCCCGGGAACCTGATTCGTACTGCGTCGGAGCTGTCACGATATCCATGGGTTGAGTCGCAGATCGGTGCTGTAAATTGGTCTTTTTATGGCTGTTTCAACACCTGTACTGAGGATTCTATCTCGTCGGCAGAGAATCTGAAGCTGGCTCTGAACGTGGAGGTAAAGGGATGGATCACCCGAATCGGAAGAGCATGCAAAGTGGAATACAGACGGAAGATGGACAAAATCTTCGCTCAAATCAACGACTTGAGTCGGAAACTGAGCAGGCCTATCCGTGACTTAGACGATCTTCGCATCGGAATGCAAGCTCTGAGGCTGATTCGAGAAAAAGAAATCGACATGGAAATGGCCATCGATCCCATCGAGGCAAGTAAAACGCCACTCATTTTTCGGGTATTAATTACCAACATCGATAGAGTGCAGGACCTCAGAGTGAAAGTATTATACCCGATTAGGAATCCTTCTCCCTGCTGACGAAACACGATATCAGGCTGACCAAGGAAGAATCGGAACGGGTGGACAGCCTGCGATACACGTGGCAAAAGCTCCAGGCCCAAGCCATCGACCTCCAGAACCTCTTGTCTTCCCTTCAGCCTCAATTCCAACAAGAGCTCATTCAAAACTTGGATAATTTTCAGAAGGATTGCACCAATTTTGTCCAAGATTACGGCAAGGAGGGTCCAATGGTCGGCGGCCTGGAACCTCGAGAGGCATCCGACAGACTCGTCATATTCCAAGTTCGTCGCTCGATTTTCCTATCTCACAACCAACTGTGAATATGCCCTTGATCCGATTTCGTTTATCTTTGAATTTCTCATTGACAGAATCGATTCGATTCCTTGTGGAGGAGGCACGTGGTGTATGCAGCTGGAGAAGAGCTGTTCGGACTTGAACCGTCTGAATATCCGCATCTGGGAAGGATCAAGAAGGAGCTGAATCTCCTCCAGAAACTCTATCGGCTCTACAACGACGTCATCGACCGAGTCACCAGCTACTACGACATTCTCTGGATCGACGTCAACATCGAGGAGATTAATAACGAACTCATGGAGTTTCAAAATAGGCGAGTAAAAGAGATTCTGGTGAAGTCGATGTAATCCGTCTCCCGATGATGGATGGATGCATTAACGAATGAAATGCTTGAAACGAATGGAATGAGAACCTTGATATGGCATGGGTGCAGGTGTCGGAAGCTCCCGAAAGGTCTGAAGGAATGGCCGGCCTTCAACACACTAAAGAAGACGATAGACGACTTCAACGACATGTGTCCATTGCTGGAGTTGATGGCGAACAAGGCGATGAAGCCAAGACATTGGACTCGGATTGCAGAACTCACCGGCCACACTTTCAACGTGGAGGCGGAACATTTCAGCCTCAAGCACATCATGGAGGCTCCTCTTCTTCAATATAAGGAGGACATCGAGGTGGAGAAATATTTTAAAAACCCGTTCTCCATTCTCAACCGAAGTATATTGACTCCCTCACGATCGTGCTTCATTTTCTTTCCCGCTGTGCAGGACATTTGCATCTCTGCGGTGAAGGAGAAGGACATCGAAGCCAAGCTTCGCCAGGTCACGAACGAATGGAGCATGCACGAGCTGAGCTTCATGCATTTCAAGAACAGAGGGGAACTTCTCCTCCGAGGAGATTCCACTGCTGACATCATCACGATGCTCGAGGACAGCCTCATGGTTCTCGGCTCTCTCTTATCAAATCGGTGAGCCTGATAGTCCCTCTTGGGCTCTGACACTTTCATGTTCCACTCTGACCTCCGTTGACTCTGAATCTACCAGGTACAATCCACCCTTCCGAAAACAAATCCAGAAGTGGGTGTCTGATCTGTCCAACACGAATGAGATCCTAGAGAGATGGCTGTTCGTTCAGAACCTGTGGGTGTACTTGGAGGCCGTTTTCGTTGGCGGAGATATCGCTAAGCAGCTCCCCAAAGAAGCCAAAAGGTTCTTTTGTCCCCCTTCCGAATGGAAAGGGTTTCCTGCGAAATGTGACACATACAGTAATAGCATTTGCATTAATTCCTAATGTGCGACATGTCTTTAGGTTCTATGCGATCGACAAGTCCTGGCAGAAGATCATGGGCCGAGCTCATGAAATCCCCAATGTCGTTCAATGTTGCGTAGGTGACGATACTCTCAAACAACTCCTTCCCCATCTCCAAGAACAGCTAGAACTCTGTCAAAAGTCTCTATCAGGGTAAGCCATGTCCACTTCTCAACTAAGAGACAGCACGATATTCCGAGGACATTCACACAGGACACCTCTGCATTTTCTCTATAGATATCTGGAGAGAAAACGACTTATGTTCCCTCGCTTCTTCTTTGTGTCTGATCCGGCCCTGCTAGAAATCCTGGGCCAGGCATCGGACTCTCATACTATTCAGAGTCATCTGTTGTCAATTTTCGACAACACAAAGAACGTGGTGTTTCACGACCAGGACTACGACCGCATCGTCGCCATCGAGTCCTCCGAGGGAGAGACCATCACGGTAAGCACCTATCTCTCGCCTCTCGCATCATTAGCGACGGGGGATGCAGCTTCTCTTGCATTTGCACGGCGGTGGCAGTTGGAGAGACCGGTGAGGGCGGAGGGGAGCGTCGAGGTCTGGCTCATGAGACTCCTGCAAATGGCCCAGCAGTCTATGCATAGCATCATCCGATCCGCTCATGCCGTCATCAATGACCCCAACTTTAACGTCCTCACCTTCCTTGGCTCCTATCCTGCTCAGGTCAATTTATGTCAAGCCTATCCCTCTCGAGCGTAAACGCGATATTCGACGAGTAACGTTTACATATTAAGGTGGGTATCCTTGGGCTTCAAATGATCTGGACCCGTGACTCCGAGGCAGCTCTGGTACAAGCTAAGGTCGACAGAAAGGTCATGATGGAGACCAACAATCGATTCCTAGACCTCCTCAATATCCTCATCAGCCAGACTACGAAGGACCTCAGCGCCGTCGAGAGAACCAAGTTCGAGACCCTCATCACGGTCCACGTGCATCAACGCGATATCTTCGATAACCTGGTGAGACGATTGCATTCCAGACGCTGCATTCCATTGTGAATGTCCTAGCACGAGAAGCATACACTTCGTTTTCCTTCTCAGTGTCGTCTGAACGTTCGAAACATCTCGGACTTCGAATGGCTGAAACAGTGCCGATTTTACTTCCGGGAAGATTCGGACAAGACGAGCATCTGCATCACCGATGTCAATTTCACGTACCAGAACGAATTTCTCGGCTGCACCGAGAGGCTCGTCATCACACCACTTACTGACAGGTGTCCGATCCCGTTTTTCTCTTCTCTTTGCCCTCTCGTTCACGGGTCGCATGGTGTAGGAAAGCAACAGACCGATTCTGTGTGTCCAGGTGCTATATCACATTGGCTCAGGCGTTGGGGATGAGCATGGGAGGATCGCCGACTGGGCCAGCCGGGACGGGGAAGACGGAGACTACGAAGGACATGGGCAAGACCCTCGGCAAATACGTCGTCGTCTTCAATTGCTCCGATCAGATGGACTACCGGGGATTAGGACGCATCTTCAAAGGCATCATCCTTTTACCTACCCTCAAATCCCCCTCCCCTCCCCGAGTGCACGGATTACTTTCACATCTGTCTTGCATTCGAAGGCTTGGCGCAGTCAGGGTCCTGGGGTTGCTTCGACGAATTCAATCGCATCGATCTGCCCGTCTTATCTGTGGCAGCTCAGCAGATCGCAGTCATTCTCAGTTGCAAGAAAGAACGACGCAAGCATTTTACCTTCACTGATGGGGACATCGTGGACATGAATCCCGAATTCGGCACCTTCCTCACCATGGTTTGAACTCTGCTCACCCGGAAAAGATAAAAAAGTCGTATAAGAACTATTCGACTAATTCTCCTGAGTCGATATCCCTCCCTAACCGACAATATCTCGTAAGCGAAGAATACGCTTGAGCGAGGGAAGTACATAAAAAATATTTTATACGGTTGTATAGTGCAGCCCCTCACAAATCACCACAATGTTTCTCGCTAATAGAAAGAGTGGTGAAAAAATGTGAAAATTGAATGCATTCATTTTCGCCTGGGCTTCACGGAGTATAACATCAACTCAGTTAAACGGGCGAATTTATTCAGGTTGATAGCACATGGCTCATTTTATGGCATTAGAAACACAAGTAGACCAACTCGCCAAAAACTGTCGACAAGTATTGTTCCTTCCTCGACCTCAACCCTGGCTAAAAATCAATCTGTACTGTTGCATTATTCTTCGCTGTCGTTCTCCAGAATCCGGGCTATGCGGGAAGACAGGAGCTTCCTGAGAATCTCAAGATTCAATTCCGAACAGTTGCCATGATGGTACCGGACAGACAGATCATCATTCGAGTCAAACTAGCTTCCTGCGGTTTCCTCGAGAACATCACCCTTGCTCGGAAATTCTTCACCCTATACAAACTTTGCGAGGAACAACTCACTAAACAGGTAGGCAACTCCATACGGCGTGAAAGAAAGCTGATCCTTTTTTCATTCTTTGTAAGCTGTTCAACAGTTGGTCGAGAATCTTTCCGAAAGATTTCAGCGCGAAGGGGGTTCAGCACACTTGGAAACGAGTCTTTTTTCTTTACATGGTCTGACCAGGTGGGATTGCTTTGTCTGAGGGTGAATAGGTATTTTTTTTTAATTTCAAAGGATGAAGCAGTGAGGCCAAGTGTCACAAAGATGATTATATGTGGACTTTCTTCTTTAATCTTTCTTCAAATTGCTTGGCATCATAGTTGTTCCGTGAATAAGGGGATTAGGCTTTCTGAAAGATTTTACCTCGATAATAGAGGGCGAAATAATGTGAGTCTGTTTCCAACCCTCCAGACAGAAAATGACAGCATTTTCCCTGAAACACGCTAGTTTACGTATTGTACATTAATCCACCTGAAAAGTGAGATGACACATGAATGAACCTCTTTCGCAATACAGGTCCACTACGATTTTGGACTGCGAAACATCCTGTCGGTGTTACGTACCCTTGGGGCAGCCAAGAGGGCTAATCCCAAAGACTCTGAGAGCACCATCGTCATGAGAGTCCTGAGGGACATGAATCTGTCTAAGCTTGTCGGTGAGTTGGCTTATGGCTAAGAACGTACATCAAAGAGAATACAGTCTCAGACTTAACGGAGGCTAAAAGAGTTTATGGGTGACATGCACTGAATCCGTTTAAGCTAAACTAATCTGATCTTACAATGGTCCCCTATGGGAATCAATTTAACAGAGATAAACTTATTCCCTTAGACGCCCATTTAAAAACGAATCATCTTAACGTTAAACGAATCTGGTGCATGTCATCCTATTTGACAACTGTTTTAACACCTGTTTGAATTAAGATAAACTGGATAAAAAATTCAGACACCTTCATGAATTTGTGCGATGAGTCTTTCAAGTTCCGAGCATGTTGTTCGCTCGCAACAAGAATGAACTGTTTTCGACTTCCGTAGACGAGGACGAGCCGCTGTTCATGTCTCTGATCAACGACTTATTTCCAAACATCACTCTGGATAAGGCGGGTTATCCCGACCTGGAGACTGCCATTGCCGATCAGGTGAAAGCGGCCGGACTCATCAATCATCCCGCCTGGACCCTCAAACTCATCCAAGTGAGAGAACATGAAGAACATCACGTGTACGCGTTTGCATCATTAGGACGTCTTCGTTAATTGCGTTTTTTTTTCGGCAGCTGTATGAGACCCAGAGGGTTCGGCATGGGATGATGACTTTGGGCCCGAGCGGTTCCGGCAAAACCTCGTGCATTCAGATCCTCATGAAAGCTCTCACTCAGTGTGGTCAGCCTCACAGGTACATGAGTTAATCTAGGAAAATGCTTCCCTCCTTACCGTACATCATGATGGGATGGATTCTTTTCGTCAAAGGGAGATGAGAATGAACCCCAAAGCGATAACAGCCCCTCAGATGTTCGGCCGGTTGGACGTGGCTACAAACGACTGGACCGATGGAATTTACTCTACTCTGTGGCGCCGGACTCACAAAGCGAAGAAAGGTTCGGAACGAGATTTCTCATGATGGTATTTCGATTCTTTCAGAGCTATAGACATTTTGAGTTTACAGGCGAGCATATCTGGCTGGTTCTGGATGGCCCAGTGGATGCTATCTGGATCGAAAACCTCAACTCCGTTCTCGACGATAATAAAACGCTGACTCTGGCAAATGGAGATCGTATTCCTATGGCTCCGAACTGCAAAGTGATTTTCGAACCTCACAACATCGACAATGCCTCCCCTGCTACGGTCTCAAGAAATGGCATGGTAAAATTCCACATCCACATGGTCTCGATCATCGTTAGCTTCAGTTTCCCTGCTGCAGTTAATCCAGGATTCCCTTTCGTCACGAAGGTATACATGAGCTCATCCGGTCTCGACTGGAAGCCCATTTTTTCCGCTTGGGTAGCCAATCGAACCCCGAACGAAACGACCATTCTTAAGGATTTGTTCGAGAACAATTTCCTGCCTATCTACACGTGGAGCACTCAGACCCTGATTTACAAGATGGAAGTCCTTCAGATCAACGTCATCATTCAGGTACGCTTGCCTTGAAAAGTCGGTATGCAGTACACTGTAGCAAAGTGTCGGCAGGAGCTTTTTTTTTCAGAAGGTGTCAGCACTTTATTGGCATTGTTGAGTGCCCGAGAGCAAATAAGTGTATCCTTTGAAGATTCAGAGAGTCAAAGGAAAGAAAATAACATCAGGAATAAAGTTCCATATGCATCCTGCTTTATGAAGAAAGGCGTGCCTTATGTACTCGCTTTGGATTGCCAGGTCGAAGATAAATGGATTTGCTTACATCGATACAAATGCGTGAGAAGGTTCTGAGAGGAAGAGGCAGAGAGAAAAAAATACATTTCTGGGAGGAGAAAGAAAAGATGATAGTTACAAAAGGTAGTCGCGAAGGAGTTGGAGAAAATGTATCCTGAAAATTTTACAAGTTACTGATGCAAACATCTTAAGGAAGCGCGCCTGTATTATATCAAGAAGGGAGATTGTGGTGCATCCTTCCCAAAGTGAACAGACTTATCCCATGATATTTTAAATAGCCGGCTGGGTACTATGAAACCGAGAAAACCTTATAGATGAGTGTATTAAGGACACGGTTGGCAGACTAGTAACGCAATGTGGTGAATTTTAAGCGAGATGTCTCTAGAGAGTCTCTAGAGAGTCTCCAGAAGCTCCAAGGAATAACAAGGAAGGAGAAATGTATTTTGGAATAGATAGGGGAAGGCTGTTTCTTGGAGGAAAGCACGATAAGATTGGTTTTCTTCGGATTGAAGGGCAAGTTCCCTTGGGATACACGTCTGGATATGGATTCCAGGCCTCTTTGAAGCAAGAGAACCACCTGCTCTCTGGGAAGATGGATTGTATGGAGAGTGGTATCATCGGCCAACAGGTGGAGGACTTTGTTCTCCTGAGTAGAAGTAATGTCATTAATAAATAACAGGCAGAGAGTCAGGCCAAAGACACTCCTCGGGGAACACCAGATTTGTTTGCAGAGGGGAGCGTGGGGTGACCATCCAGGAAAAAAAAAAGATTATTTGCGACCGGACAGAAAACAAAGAATCAATTGGAAAACGTGATTTGAGATTTTTCCCATGCGGAAAAGTCAAGTTTTTAAATATGAGATATAGGCATATATGATATATGTCATAATGTATGGACACATGTGGGAAAACATATGATTATCTCTTTTTATTGAAGCAATGAGTATATATATCTGGGAAGGCCTTTTATGAACTTAATGAAAGACATGTATGTTCAAGATATGGAGTAACAGATAATACATTTTTATGACTTTGGTATGTCTGTTTTGTACATGGTGGGGCATATATGTCATATCTGATAGGAGACATGACCAGTTCAGGTATGAAACATATATGTCGCTCACAAATCAAATGTCAAAAAACGACTTCAGGAAATATGCTGAGAATTGACACTTCATCCGTCACTTCAATGACGTTGAAGACACAAAAACGTCCCCATATTGTGCTGATAATGAAATATATAGGAGTAAGTAAACAAAAAAGTAATTTCTTTTTTAAGTTGTACGAAAATAGTACTGTCAACGAGAAATTCAGATTCATCAAGTTGTGCAAATTGGGATGAAATAAGGGATGAAAACGAAAGTAATTACTGCAGATTCCCCATATAGGTGCCAATTAAGTATTCATTCATCATCAGTTTGTTCGTCTTGCATCACATTATTCTTCCTTTTCCCTTGCATGGAAAAAGTCACATACGAGAAATGAGAAGAAAGAGAGAGGTTTTTCTTTATTCAAATAACCCTGTATTTGCAATATGGTAATTTAATATTATCCTACAAATTCTTAATTAATGTTTCCTTATTTTTCATTTCACCCTCTTTTAGCTTTAATTTGAAGCATTCTCTAGGACAAATAAAACTAAGCATCTGGGGGTGAAGGAGCCATATTTCGTCCTCAGGGCCAAATTTAAACCCCTATATCTCTGCCCTAGTTTGCCGTGGAAACATCAAATTTGAACTAAACGCTATTCTCATCATTGTAAAACTGCTTGTCAATTTTAATTTTGAGACGAGCGAACACAGACCATTTCGACTCTTGGGGTGGAATGACCCATCAGTAAATTGTGCAACGGGACATTATTTGAATCAGACAAGGGTGCTGAAAACCCCCTGATACTCATTTAAACACTTTGTAGCCATCCAATGTCGATGACTTATCCAGATTATCATTTTTGCTCACTTATACGAAGCTGTCTTTCTCCCATAGAAAATGTAATGCGTACTTTTTTTCCAATTACTCCATACGGAGGAGCCCATCCCTCAAAGCTGATTATTCTTGTATATGCAGTAGTAAATAAGTGTGGCTAAGTTATGTTTAAGGCATGAATAGGCCTCACATGGATCGAGTGCTTTACCCTCATATGCTCTCACATATGTAACTTCATAAATTGAAGATATATAAATATATATGGCACAGATAACTGTATGCTACTGTCATATATTATGATTATGTATGGGATGCCATAATCCTGTAGTTCGGGTCCTTTGAGCCATACTGTAGAAAGACTTGGAAATCCAGAAAGTCATTTCGAAAACCTCATCAGCAGAGATGGAATCGAGACTACATACTCTGAAGCAATCCGAGGAGAGAAGTTTGCGGCGAACATTGTTTCAGGAAACTGATGGATTAGAGAGCGAAAGTGGTTTGAATTTGAAAAAGAGGGAAAGGACCATTGTCTTGAAGGTTACATACTTTGTACGCATGCATAGCGATGGTTGAGAAATTCGGCTCCATGACCTGACGGATAGTCCATATTAGGGTACCGTTTGCCTGATCTACAACAGCAGGTTCACGACACTTTTACGAAGTTTTCTAGAGAATGTCGCTGTGGAATGGAGATGAGAGGGTTATCTTTTTAACGCAGATGTTGAATCTGCTGACTGGGCTCCTGCCTCCAGAGGAAAAGGCCTCAATTGAAATAAATGAAGATGGAGAGGACGAACCTCAGCAGCCGAAGAAGCAAAGTGCATCTGTCCATATCGGTCGTATCTTTGTCTTCTCCCTCATGTGGAGCATCGGGGCTCTCCTTGAACTAGACGATCGACTCAAACTTGAAATTTACCTCCGGGATAATAAATCCAGTTATCCCTTGGACTTGCCACCAGACCAAAGAATATCTACATCCACAATGTTTGACTATATGGTCGACCCACAAGGTAAGACTGAGTCATAGCAACATCATAGCAACAATTTCTATCCTTATAAACAGTTCGGGTTTTGAAATCCGCTTTCCCCCTATAGGGAATTGGGTTCATTGGAATCTTCAAGTGCAAGAGTATATTTATCCAGACAACTACACGCCTGATTTCTCATCCATTCTCGTGCCAAATGTGGACAATGTGAGGACGGACTTTCTCATCGGCACCATCGCAAAGCAGGGAAAGGTGAACTCAGATGCCCTGAAATTTTATCAATCAGGTCGAGGAACTCGAATGAATACATAGAGATGGATGTTTGGAATTTGACAGGCTGTGATGCTGTTGGGAGAGCAAGGCTCAGCTAAGACCGTCATGATGGATGCCTACCTCAAGAAATGCAAGACTGAATATCATCTGAGTCGAACAATGAACTTCTCGTCTGCTTCCACTCCGCTTCATTTCCAGGTCAGATCCGAAATTTGTGCCTAAGAAAAGGAATTCAAGGTTTGGAAGTCCCTGCTTTCTCCCATAATCAGAAAAGCATGGAGAGTTACATCGACAAGCGAATGGGGAGCACGTATGGTCCTCCCGCCGGGAAAAGAATGACCGTCTTCATCGATGATATCAACATGCCTCTAATCAATGAATGGGGAGATCAAGTTACCAACGAAATCGTGCGTCAGACGATCGAAATGGGAGGATTCTACAACCTCGAGAAGCCCGGAGATTTCACTCACATCGTGGATGTCCAATATGTGGCTGCCATGATACAACCCGGTTCGTCTACCACTCATCCAGATAGTAAAATAAGAAATTTCGGACATGCTTGAAATTTAGAATGAACATTGTCTGTATGAAAAGGAGGAGGACGGAATGATATCCCATCGAGATTGAAGCGTCACTTCTCCATCTTCAACTGCACGATCCCTTCAGACGCATCGATCGACAAGATTTTTGGGGTCATAGCCAAGGGTCACTATTCCACCAAGAGAGGCTTCAGTATGGAAGTCCAGAACCTCATCAGCAAATTGGTTCCCCTCACTCGAAAAGTCTGGTCTGTCACCAAGGTTAGTTCTCATTATGTTCTTTGTTTTTACAGGTTCCTTTCTTCTCATCATCGACATTCATATGTATTCATGAAACAGCGATTGAGATCACGCTTGCAATATTCGTGGTATCTCTTGTTGCGGAAAGAGGGAAAAAGTTCGAGATCGATCTGACATTTTACATTCCACCTCGGTCTTGGTTTATATCCCATCATGCAGGCATTAGGCATGCAAATTCGGATTCAAAATGTCAATTTCGTTCCCTTTTCCCAATTCCTTTTTTCATCCGTTGTTCTCTTCGAGATGGTGATGGAACTGGAATTGAAGATGTCAAACAAGGAATTTCGGTCTGTTTTTTCAGGCAACAGTACTTCCAACGCCAGCGAAATTCCATTATGTCTTCAATCTGCGTGACCTGAGTCGGATATGGCAGGGAATGATTGGGACATTGAGCACAGTGATCGACTCGGAAAAGACGCTCATGGCTCTATGGAAGCACGAAACCTATCGAGTCGTTGCTGACAGGCATGTCATTGAATTATGGCTGGGAATATCATCATGCACTGCTCTTATTTTCATTTCCATCGTATCTCAAGTCTTGAAGTATTTGTCAAACAGATTCATAACCTCCGCGGACAAGGAATGGTTCGAGAAGACCCTTATCGAGCAGACTGGATTGCATCTCGGCTCCGCATATGCCGACATGGTCATGAAGAGGGAATTCTTCGTCGACTTCCTCAGGTCCTTCCTCCTGAATCCATTCAAGGAATGTTTTGAAATGTTCGACGACGGCGTCGAAGAATGAGGGTGGTGGTGATTGTTAATGTGATCGTTACAGAGATGCACCGGAGCCGACAGGGGACGAGACAGAGGAGCTGGACATGGAGATGCCCAAAGTGTACGAGCCCATCCCGTCTTTCGAGATTTTGGAAGAAAGGCTCCGCATGTTCCTGTCTCAATATAATGAGATGATCCGAGGAGCTGGCATGGATTTGGTCTTCTTCCACGACGCTATGGTCCACATCGTTAAGGCGAGGCTCATCTTCATTAATGAATGCTCTCATTTTTTTCCTCATTCCAAAGTCTTCTCTAGAGCCTGTTCGTCTTACTTTAGATCTCGAGAATCATCCGGAACCCGGGAGGAAACGCTCTTTTAGTTGGGGTTGGGGGCTCGGGGAAGCAATCATTGACAAAATTGGCTTCATTCATAGCTGGATACAAGACCTTTCAAATAACTCTTACCAGGTACCCAAATTGCCCTCATTTGTTCCCCCCCTCTATGCTTGCCCCATTCGCTTTGATATACTCCTTGAACCTATGAAATTTCCTTCAACATAGAATATTCCTCAGACCATATTTCCATCCGAAAACTCTTTTGAAAGGTCCTACAATGCCAACAACTTTCTTGAGGATTTGAAGGTTCTCTACCGGACATGTGGGATTCAAGGAAAGGGAACAACGTTCATTTTTACCGACCAAGATGTGAAAGACGAAGGATTCCTGGAATACCTGAATAACGTTCTCTCTTCGGGTAAGATCTTCTAATTTCCCTCCTGAAGGTGAGCGTCTTGTCTTGATCATGATTAAAAGACCACCACCGGGCTTATTGCTCAATTCTATTCAAGGCGTGGTATCGAACCTGTTCAACCGGGACGAGCAGAGTGAGATCATCATGGAGTTGATCCCAATCATGAAGCGAGAGCACCCACGCCGGGCACCCACGCCCGAGAACGTCATGGAATATTTCGTCACTCGAGTCCGACAAAACCTTCATGTCGTTCTCTGCTTCTCCCCGGTCAGTCAACCCAGGCAGACGATCTGAATAAGCTTCGCGATGACCGATCTTGTTTCCCTCATTGAATCCTCATGGATCAAAGCAAAGGCGGCATGTTATTCCTTCATCTCCGCTCTGTTTAGCCTCCCGCAAAAAGGTTATGATGAGAAAGATGCTCGTATAATCATCATGGGAAGAACCACAGCTGAGAGCGGAAGAGCGTGAACATTGCATTCGTCTTCTCTCTTTTCTTATTACGATCCTCTAAATCCCATCTTTCAGGGGATCTATCTTTTCAGCCGTCATTTGTTGAACTCAGATACTTAGGCGTGATAAAGTTGATGGCCTTCATTTTTTCACTCACAGGCTTATCATGCAACAGCAATTGGCTGGTTCTCACAGCCTGAATAACATATTCCAGATTATTTGGCGATCCTTACGTTTAATTGAGAAAACCTTTAAGTTAGTGTATTCTTCAATTTTAATCATAGGTCTACCCTGTACGTATAAGGGTGTCTTGACTTCCGGAGCTGATTGATCGCTCCCAATGAGAATGGCATCGGGTATATTCTGCTTCGATACTCTATTGTTAAAGGAAAGACGAGGTGAAAAGAGGTTGACGATACGGTAATGAAATGCGTCTTTCACGGAAGGTCGTGGGTTCCCAGGGGAATGAAAAAGATAGGATTCTTCCCATTGAAACCCTTCTTAAAATGCAGGATCTCATTTTCATCTCCCCCATCCCCCTCTTCTTCATAAGAGTGAGATCCGGGAACTCATTCATTCTGCTTTGGCCCAGCTTAAACAAATCAATTAGTATCTGTCCTTCAGAGAACGAATAAGAAAGGGGGGCATGGAAACGGAGGGACGAATTTCAATGAACTTCAGTGTATACTCTAGTTTTAATTGCTTTCAGGTCGGAGAGAAGTTTCGGAATCGTGCATTGAAATTTCCTGGACTTTTTTCTGGCTGTACCATCGATTGGTTTCAACCTTGGCCGAAGGATGCACTTGTGGCTGTGGCCGATCACTACTTGTTGAATTTTGATGTGGTTTGCACCGACGAAGTGAAGGTGCAGCTCGTGGAAGCTATGGGGACTTACCAAGATATTGTCTCCACCCACTGTGCCGAATATTTTCAGAGGTGAAAAGGCATAAAATTTTCGTAGAGTGAGAAGGAAAGAGAGAGACGTGGATGGGTTGGAATGATTCCAGGGCTTATTTCCTGCAGATACCGACGAGCGGCTCATGTCACCCCAAAGTCCTATCTGTCTTTCATCAACTCGTATAAGAGCATCTACAGCGACGAGAAGGCGAAGATCGGGGACTTGGCCGAAAGGATGAATTCGGGCCTCGCCAAGTTGCAAGAAGCCTCGGAATCAGTAGCAAGACTCAGGCAGGAACTGTTCGTCATGGAGCATGACCTGGCGGAGGCATCAGACAGGGCCGAGAAGGTAAGAGGGAGTCCAGCCAGCTCTCTCTGGTCTTCGTTTTCCCAAGAGGAAAACTTGGATGGAATATTCTGTCGTTTCTATAGGTATTGTCAGAAGTGACGATCAGGGCACAAGAGGCGGAGTTCATCCGGAATCAGATGCAGAGAAAGAAGGACGACGCCCAGGCTCTGGTGGACGTGATAGCAGTGGATAAGGCTTTAGCTGAAGAGAAACTTGCCGATGCCAAGCCAGCTTTGGAGGAAGCCGAAGCTGCGCTCAATACCATCAAGCCGGCACATATAGGTCTGTAAAATGAAAAGCATTCCCATTCCATCCTTCTGATTGGATTTAAAAGGTGGAAAATTCGTCGTTCCTCCCCAGCTACAATTAGGAAGCTTGGAAGGCCCCCGCATCTCATCATGCGAATTATGGATTCCGTTCTGATTCTCTTCCGAAGACGACTACACCCAGTCGTGCAAGATATAGTTCCATGCCCCAAGCCCTCTTGGAGTGAATCGCTTAAGGTAAATAGCAACTTCACGAGACGATAAAAGGCTTTTTTATTATTAGAGTCGACCAAATTTTTCCTCACCCGAAGGATGTTTTCTCATCGAATATGATAGATGATGGCAAGTGCAACATTCCTCCAGCAACTCCAAACGTTCCCCAAGGATACCATCAACGACGAGATGGTAGAACTATTAGAACCGTATTTGACCATGGAGGATTACAACATGGAAACAGCGACGCGGGTCTGTGGTGATGTGGCGGGGCTTCTTTCTTGGACCAAAGCCATGGCTTTCTTTTTCAGTGTCAACAAGGAGGTCCTACCACTCAAGGTCAGAGATACCATTCCTTCATTCCCTTCCCCGTAGGAACCGGAGATGTTTCATATTCCCCTCGTATTTCGCACGCAGGCAAATCTTGCCTTGCAAGAAGCCAGGTTAGGAGTTGCCATGAAGGAGCTCCAGCGTTCTGAAATGGAATTGGCGGCCAAAGAAGCATCTTTGGCGAGCGTGAGAGAACAGTATGCGGCTGCAGTGGCAGAGACCCGTCGTCTGGCTTCCGACGCTGACACGTGCAGGCGGAAAATGCAGGCCGCGGAAACCCTCATCAATGGCCTTGCAGGAGAGAAGCAACGTTGGACCAAGCAAAGCAGAACTTTCAAAGACCAGATCGGAAGGTCTTTTGGCACTCACTCTTCGGTCAAACTGCGATCAGACGCTACGATTTTGCTCATATGTGACTGTACTTATATGAGCTACTAGCAGAGGTACCCGGCGTTGCACGGATGAATATTGTATAGGTCCCATATTTGTCTGTACTAAATACGGTACCCCAGGGCAGGGCCGGATTTAGGGGCAGGCGACCGCCTGGGGCGGGGGGAAGACGCTCCTCGCCTGGAGAGCCATTTGATCTTGAGCCGGCCCTGCCCTGGGTCCGAATTTTGAAACACCACCTAGCCTATGACAATTCCCGGACCAAATGAGGAAGCCATGCAAAGTTTGGTCAGACTGAGATGAAAGGCGTGGCCGTGCATAAAGGACAAACACTCAGAATTATAGGATGGATGAGCATGAGTAACTGGGTTTACGAACGAGTCACGGACTGGTATGAGTCCCATACCAAAGCATTTGATCTCGAGATCTCTTTGACTTTCTTTTGAGCGCTCGCAGAAAACATACCCACTTACTGGCTGACACGGCACGGAGCTTCCCGTACCACCAGATGTCAATCATCGCGTTGAAGCTGATGGAATCCTTCTTGGACTGACACCTTTTTGGAAGACAGCCTATCTTAGAATATCAGAATGCAGATCTTGCTGAGACGACTTACTAATTTTTAGGTGAACTCGACAGTGCTTTCAGGGACAAATTGGCAAAAATTCCTCGTGCCGGAACCGAAACGAAGAGTTTGAACACTATTAGCCATTTTTGTTCCTAAACATACCTCACACCCATTAAAATTTAATAGCAGGCTCAAAATTTTCTCGAAAATGTTCCTACTCTCCAACAGAAGAGTGGCACCAGCAATCACTATTTGCTTTCTGTGAATTCCATCATACTGTAGTCAATAGCCTAAAAATGCAGTGCGCTACAAAAGAACTTACCTTGCTGATGAGGTGTTCTTAAAACTCGCTACGTTTTCTCACAGCCGTTTAATCACCTGCTATGTGAGCAATCACATATGAGCAAAACCGTTCAAAAGACGTTTGATCTGTCGGGGGGAGAGAAATGGCATTTTTGGGATCTGGTTTCTTCTAGACTCGTTGGAGACGTCCTCCTAGCAACGGGGTTTCTCTCATATTCAGGCCCTTTCAATCAAGAATACAGAGGGAAGCTAATTGAATGTTGGAAGGATGTCCTCCTTAATCGAAGGATTCCCATGTCCGAAGGAATTAACATCACCAACATGCTCGTCGATAACGCTTCAGTAGGTCCATCAACTCTCCCTCTTGTCTTCCTTTACTTACATCGATTCATTCTTTTTTTTTCATAGCTTCACGAGAAGCTTTGAAAAAAAAAGTGTCTGGTCTGCTGCAGAAGAGTTTCAGGTAGAATAACGAGATCGTTCTTCGCTTTAATCGTATGGGAAAGTCGAGCGCTAACATCTTCGTTTCCAGACATGCTCTTCCATTTTTTCAGGTTCAATTTAAGAAAATCTCAGTTTGTGTTGAAGGGCAAAACGAAGTGACTTGAAGCGCGTGCAATGAAAAATATCTCCAATTATTCCAGTCAAAAGGGGACATAAGCTTGACATGCATTTTCTATCCGATTTTCACAAACTTAGTCTCATTGAATGCTGAAATTTGAGAGTTTATTCTGGCCCCAAGGAGAGTTTATCAACGATAATCGCATTTGTTCCAGAGAGGGAATAAGGGCTATTCCTTACGTTAATGTAATAATACTGGCCAATTTGGAAGCGAGACGATGAATCGATGATTCGATAAATGAAGTCGGAAAGTCTTCTGATAACATCAATGGGGTGGAATAATGGGAAATATATGACAAAATAAAAACTGACTATTGGGCTCAGGATTACCCTGAAATGATCGATCCTAGTGATCGGAGTCAGGTCCAAAAGCAATGCGTCGAAGAATGTAAAGTTCGTAACGTTTCGTCATTTTGAACTGAAAAAGATGAGTGAATTATTGCGAATCACATGGTACATAGTTTTAGGGGATCATCTGATGCATAAAAACTAGAGAGGGAAACGGGTGTCCCTGTTTCGGGGATCCTGTTTCCTTCCCATTCCCCGCAGGAGAGAACGGGACGGGAGTGAAACTTTTCAGGAGCAGGAGGGAGCGAGGCGGAAAGTTGTCGGAGTGACAGGATTAGGAGCACATTCTGATATTTATCTGGAGCGATCGGAAAAGTACCTCGTAAAAGCAAAAAAAAAGTAAATGGGACCCATTGACCTTCCGCTTTCTTCCATCCTTTCTATCGCGTAGGTTACCATTACCTACCCCCCTCCTCCTCCTCCTCCTCCGGATCCTGGGAGTTTTTCTCTTTAGAGAGTAATTTGTTTACGGTAGCCTGGCAGTCTCATCAACTTAGAACCTTGTAACGCTTAGTTTTTTCTGCCGGAATTTCCCACAGTTCAGGAATCAAGTGATATCCGTTCTGGAGAGGCAGGAATGAGATTGAGCTAGTTCGGGAGCAGTGGAAGCAGAAAAAAAAATAAGGGGAAAAGATAACGTTAGGACAGGGCCGGATTAAGGGGGGGCAAAGTGGGCAGTTGCCCCGGGCCCCGGGGGGGGGGAAGCCCCAAGAATTCAATTGCCCCGGGCCTCGCAACTTCTTAATCCGGCCCTGAGTTAGGAGCAGGAAGGACAGGAGTACTATAGAAACATTTGGCAGCGACGGTGCGGGAGTCTCAATACCTTGTTTTCCCTCTCAATTTATATTTTAATAATAAAAAAACAGCTATAGACTGGGTAGCTTGTATCACTTTAAAAGAAATTTATGGTCAACTGGACCTCACATATAGATCATGTTCATTTAATGTAATGTTTGATACCTTTGACTGCTGTGTACTATTGGTCTGCGAATGGTCTGATGACTGCTGTCTGGCGCTTATCATCAGTTTATGATTTTTAAGACTTGTACGCTTTTGTAATGTGAACAACCACTTAACCTCTTGTTCCTTTTGGGATGAGAAGCAACTCAAACTTAATATTTATTTTGACAGAAGCATTCGTTTATATGGAATGACCCCGAAGCGCATGAGGCCATGCTTAGAACATGACAATTTTGTGAATTATTGAGATAAAATATTCTAGATCAGGTATTTCTTGCCAGGTACAGTCTTTTTTACTGCATCCGCTTCAAATATGTTCACGTTCACTCTCATGAAGCTCTGACGTAAAGAAATACCTCTGGAAGGAGTGTGAGAAAGTGGTGACAATCACGATCTGTGTCCACATCAATGTAAGTTGTGGATCCACAACATCATGCCAGACGAAACTTTCTTCCTTCTGCATCAGACCGGAAACTTTTTGATTACCTCTCGTATTCTCTGCTACGATTCCACGCGTGATCTCTTGCAGATCTCCGAGTGGAATCTTCAGGGCCTCCCAAACGATGAGCTGAGCATTCAGAATGCTTTGATCGCCACGAAAGCTTCGTGCTATCCCCTTCTTATCGATCCACAAGGTCAGGGAAAGCAGTGGATCAAGAACAGGGAAGCCAAGAATGAGCTTCAAGTGAGTTCTGCTCGTTGTCTCCTTAATGGGTTTCCATTAACGCACTCGAGGTGTGTTTCTCGTTGGTCCAGATCACGTCACTGAACCACAAGTACTTCAGAACACATTTGGAGGACTCGCTTTCGTTAGGGAGACCCTTGCTCATAGAGGACATCAACGAGGAGCTGGACCCCATTCTCGATAACCTTCTCGAGAAAAACTTCATCAAGTCGGGCACCATTGACAAGGTAAAAAAATCCGTCAAGTAATTTGTTTTAGGGATCAAATCCTTTGATATCAGTGACCTGTTATACTGATGATGAGATGCATGGATCTGGTCGCGCGTAGGTGCTGATTGGAGACAAGGAGTTTGACATCATGCCCGGTTTCGTGCTTTACATTACGACAAAGCTCCCGAACCCAGCCTACACCCCTGAGATCAGTGCAAAAACGTCCATCATCGATTTCACGGTTACATTGAAGGGCTTGGAGGATCAGCTGCTGGGTGAATGCTCCCCTCTCATCATCTTGCATGAATTCATTCCTAAGGTTTCGAGGTAATTGAAATGGTTCTCTCTGTTTTTTCAGGAAGGGTGATTCTGACGGAAAAGAGCGAGTTGGAGGCTGAGAGGGTCCATCTCATCGAGGATGTTATGGAGAATAAAAAGGCCATCAAAACACTGGAAGACAATCTTCTCTATAGACTCACATCCACTCAGGTGAAAAATTAAAATCCGAGATTTTAGATTCCGCTACAGAATGTGAAAGATCCGCTCAATTGCTTTACGCACTCCTGAAGGTCTCACAGGTCTTGAGAAGATATACGGAATTCAAAGGAACTGCGTCGGAGAATCGATGCACGAATGAGAGTTTTCGGGGAAAGAGGAACGTATTCCATGTCAGGGAATTTCGACGACTCAAATGGTCTCGCGATAGCCACATTAAGTGAGATCGGAAGGGAGTTCCTCATGGTAAAAGACTTGTCGGGGGTAGAGATAGTTAATTAGGTTTTAGGAGTGACACGAAGAAGGATGAATCGAAGCCAATAGAGTGAGAGAGAGGAGACGGATGGATGCGGGAGAACGAAGTCCTCTCTCACGACTCTAGCCTCGAGAGCTTTAAGCTATGCAATAAAGGTGACATGCTCTCCTACGGCCGTGCGGGAGTCTCCGTTTTGGCATGTCTGTTCGGAGAGGCGTGTGATTAAAGTGGAAACTCATCTGGTTAGGTGTCCCTTAACAACAAAAAACTAACCCAGGCAGGGACAGCGCTTGAGCTTCCTTCCTCTTATCTCCTCTTTGCAGAGACTAGGGAGGACCCCTTATTTCCTGAAAACTTCAATTACCCCCAATTCTTCCCTTTTTTCCTTCTCATCCATGCCTTCCCGAGGGGAGAATAATTGCCGTGGCCTCGTGGACCGAATTTCACGATCTCTCTCAAGTTAGAACCTCACTACTTCCTTCTGTGAGGAGCGTAGACGGAGCGGAAATGGGAAAGACAGATAAGGAGCAAAGACTTGTCTGTCCTGAGTTCCTCAGGGCTATATAAACGGTACCCTTAAACAGGAAAATATAGCGTCGTTAATGATATCTTAAATTCATTGTGATTAAAAAATGCAGCTCTAAGGTAGGCCTGGCAGTCTTCCAAGAAAGTGAGAGTGCTGAATGGTATCTCTGCCATACAGTCATCCTCTTCACAACAATGCAAGATGCCCCTAAAGTCGCGATAGATATATTCAATGGGTAGCGTTGGTTTTCTAATCCAAAACCCGTGTCTCCATAAAAAAAAGAGGGACCAAATAATTGTTGCGATGGCCTTTTACGAGGCATTCAAGGGGAACCCTTTCTCTCCTGTAACATATATGACAAAACATTGCAAGTTAAAATCATCACAATAAAATCTTGCTTCAATAGCCATAACTTTAATATAAACTACTCTAAACAACTTGAATCTGTGTAATCGCCATGTAATTTTCCCCCTTTGTTTCCGATGTATCACTTTCATATTCCTACACACAAGGCAATCGCAGGCACCTTAAGAAAAAGCTGGTTGCATATTTCTAATAAATGGATTTGCATGTTGCAAATCAGCATGTCAGTGAGCTTCCCCTTAGATCTTATGGACGTTCCAATCTCGAGGGTAGGTAATGTGAAGGCCTCCGTGAGGTATCGTGAACGTAACATGAAGTTACCTTATTAGTATGCTCATCAAAGTTTGGGGGGACCCTCGTACCTGTACCTGCCAGGACGAGGGAAGTACAGGGAAAATGTCTGCCTGGTTAACGTGTACCCTTCGAGCTGAAACGATAAACATTCTTTCCTTTATGATTCTGCAGAATAGGCGCGTCTATCTTATTCGATATTGCGAGATTGCCATTTCCACGTGCTTAGCCTGAATTTTGTTGGTGGATTCCCTTAATCATATGTTCTCCTCACGTACGTAATCTGCCTGGCGATTCTTCTTGATTTGACTTTATTTTCCGAGGACAATACCCTGGAACGGCTGGTATCATTCTGGTTGTCGGCATCTGCTAGCCTCTCATTTTTCTTGGTGACCATTATTCCCCTGCCCCGTGAATCCCTTAGGAAAGAAGCCCCGAGCTGCAGAGACATTGAGAAAGGTCTCCATCTCGAGCATCCAAGAAGGGTGCCGGGCTTCACATCCCATATCCATTTGCTCTTACAAGCTCTTCTAGACGAGATCCACTTTTTTAGTCCTCCATCTCGCACAATAATCTTCGGGTTCAGAGCTATCTCTACTGGCATCCTTTCTCATTTCTGGCGATAACTGGAGCATTATTCGGCATGACCACGATCTAAGAGTCTCCCCGTAAACATGTCTTGGGAGCAATTCAAGTTTCTAACCCAGTTTTACCTTCCCGTATTTCTGCACCATAATTCGCGAAGGAGTGTGAACTCAAGTGTGAATAATGGAAACTGTCAAGGGGAATAATTAATATTTAAAATTATTTTTGAAGGGAAACTAAAATGAGGTCCTGCCTCAAGCCAAGGATCAGTTGTAGGGTAAGGGCGAGTTCATACTCGTGCTGTACAGCATGCTGGATGCTGCAACTGCATACTGTCCAATGCAACATGCCCATGTTGGATTGGATTTTGCCATTACTGTACATGCTGTACAGCACGAGTATGAACTCGGCCTTAGGCTTACTCACTCCGTAGCTTCCTTCTTCCTGGACAATATTGGAAGCTTCTCAAGTAGCATATCCTCTCATCTCATACATCTCAAGGCTAAAGACCGGGTCTATTCAATAACGAGTCAGTTTCGAAGGCATCTTATTCCTGTCCACATCGATATGGGCCTTGACGTTGTGTGGGCGATATGTAGACGATATCGAAAATTCAGTAGGATGTTGCGGAAGTTCATGTCATGTTCTATGGCTTAAACGCTTATGGTCAAAAATGCTATTAACCAGCTTTGTTTCTTTGCATTTTTTTACGAATAGATCGTAATCGTGGTAGTAAAATCGGACGGCTGGCAGCCTTTCTCTGGAAGTGTTTTTTTTTTTGGGAAAGAAACGGCTGCTTTGAAGATTATCGCTCACTTTCTTGTTACCGTATTCCTTGATTAGACATCCCTGGTAGATGACGAAGACCTCATTAGTGTCTTACAAGACACAAAAGCCACAGCCCAAGAAGTGTCGCAGAAACTTCAAGTGGCCGCAGAGACGGAGGCGAAAATCAACTTAGTGAGGGAAGAATTCCGGCCAGTGGCCACTCGAGGGAGCATCCTCTACTTCCTCATCGTAGAGATGAGCTCTGTCAACATCATGTATCAAACTTCTCTCCGACAATTCCTCATGCTGTTCGAGCTCAGCATGGCCAAGTATTCTATTCTCTTCTGTTTTTTTTTTTCTCATGCGATTCTGTGTCCATTTCAACTGTGCTCAATCTTTCGAAAGATCTGAGAAAAGCAGCAGCACCATCGAAAGGATCAAAAACATTATCAACTTCCTCACCTATTCCGTGTGGAAGTACGCATCTCGGGGCTATTATGAGAAGCACAAATTCTTATTCACTCTTCTCATGGCCATTAAGATTGACTTAGAACGAGGGAAAGTGAGCCATGAAGAATTCATGACCCTCATCAAAGGTAATGTTGCGTCAGAAACTGTCAAGTTTTCTTATTGTTCCATACTTCCACTCATAGAGCTGTCTTTACTCGTCTGTCCCATTTCGTGAAGGTGGAGCCTCTCTGGACATGAAAGCTGTCCCACAGAAGCCTTTTAAATGGATTCTCGACATGTGCTGGCTCAACTTGGTTCAACTCTGCAAACTCCCTCAATTCTGCAATATTTTATATCAGGTGTGCGAAGAAACATGAGCCTGTAACTGGCCTTTCAGTCTTCTCGTTGCAGTCGACGGTTCACACGAGAAATGTACTGTGATTGTACTCGAGGTGAGCGATCACGAGAAAGAGTGGAGGGCATGGTTCGAAGCGGAGACCCCGGAACAAGAGGAACTCCCTAGTGGATACGGTAATTCCCTCGACGTCTTTCGGACTCTTCTCCTCATTCGCTCTTGGTGTCCCGACCGAACTCTTTCCCAGGCCAAAAAATACATAGCAGGTAAGCACGACCGTGTTCTTCAGGAATGATGAGGCCATTTGCGAATCAACTTTCCCAGTCTATTTTCCATTTTTACTTCCCTCACTCTTTCTCTTTCTTTAGAATCATTGGGTGAGAAGTTCAATGAACCTCCAATCTTGGATTTGGAGATGATGTGGGGTGAAAGCGACCCTCACACGCCTCTAATTTGTTTCTTGGCTATGGGCGCTGACCCTTCTTCCCAAATCGAGAACCTGGCCAAGGGCAGGGACATACGTGAGTTCATTTTCCACCCCTAATTTGGCTCTAGGGGAGGATTAAATTATCGCCTCTATTAAGACGTGGTGAGAATTTCCCTGCAGCGATGCGCAGTATATCGATGGGCCAAGGCCAAGAAATTCATGGCAGGAGACTCTTGCATGAAAGCATGAGTCAAGGAGGCTGGCTTCTCCTGCAGAATTGCCATTTGTCCCTTGCCTTCTGCAATGAAGTCATGGATGCCGTCCTGGAAACATCCAACATCCATAAGGGCTTCCGACTCTGGATCACGACCGAAGTGAATTCCAATTTCCCCATTGGACTTCTTCAGGTATGAATCAAGACTCACTGTTTGGTGAAGTAGAATTGAAGTTGTTGCTCACGTATGAGTCTAATTGGCCAGATGAGCATTAAATTCACGAACGAGCCACCCCAGGGGATAAAGGCCAGTTTGAAGAGAACATATGCTGGGATCTCTCAAGATCTTCTGGACTACAGCAATGCACCACAGTGGCAGCCTCTTCTGTATGGTGTCGCCTTCCTTCACACGGTCGTCCTCGTGAGTCTTCTCGAAATCAGTCCATATTGAATATCAAAATCGTCAGGTTCCAAGATCTTCTCTTGGTGAATGTTTGAGCTCTGATGATAGGAGAGTTTCATTTTCCAGGAAAGGAGAAAATACGGTTCCCTCGGCTGGAACATTCCCTATGATTTCAATCAGGCTGACTTCACAGCCTCTGTTCAATTCGTCCAGAACCATCTGGACGACATGGACCCGAAAAGAGTGAGATTTATTGTCTTCTTTTCTCTCATTATTTGACGATTCCTCAAGCCCCCCCCCCCCTCTCTCTGACGAGGATGCAGGGCAGTTTTTAGACTTTTGAGGCTCTTAGCTGCACTAATGGATTGACCAAGGCTAGTGATTACGAATCTATGGTAGGCTTGCCTAAAACTGCATGCTATTCCGCTGGCACGCAAAAAGATAATTAAAAGCAAAACTAAATTTGGGGTGGACAGGAAAAGAATCCCAACTTCCTCCCAGCACTCAAGACCCTGGTAATGCAGATCGCTTTTGTTTCTTGGCACGTGACACCAAAAAGGGATTACTAGCGCTGGCCTAGGCGGACTGGGAGATTTTTTCTTGCCCAGGTAAAACTGGCCAGGAAAGCGGCAGAGGTCAAAGGACATTGTCTCGACTCCAGTCCTTTTGAGAGCCTCACTCAGCATGCGCTTGAAGTCTCATCAAGCAGCAGGAATAATTAATGTTGTCAGATTTTTTACATTTAAAATGGGGATGTCATAGAGTTAATACGTCTCCATCACCACAAGTTTCTTTCTCCGAATTCAACGCACAAAGATATCCTCGCAGCAGGAGGCTTAAGTGAGGACATGGACTCGCCACAGACTGCCGTCAATGTACCGCGTATCTAACTGACAACAATGGCTATACCGCTTCTTGCCTTCCCCAGAGATAAATTATTGGATGAGTACAGGTCCTCTCACTCTTCCGATTGGATGAGTAAATGCATGCGGGCTCAGAGAACTGTCTCGAGTCTTAAGTCGACTCGAACCAACGAAACGACCGCGATTGAGACTTGCGTCTAGGGGCGAATTGATCAAGCAAGATAGGACGAAATTCTGTCTATCGGCTTTTATGTTCATCCCTGCACTTCGGAAAAACACTCCATATTTTGGTTTTATAAGATAATATCGAGCTGATGCATCAGTAAGCATCCCAATTAATAGACGTCGATCAAACGCCTGAAGAAGCTGGTAAAATTGTTTTCGGAAATTTCATCTCAGCATGGCGTCGCTGGTAAGCACTTAACAATGGCCAATTGGGAAGGGGCTTGAGGGAAGAAGGAAAGAAAACTGTCGTTATCAGTGACGCCCCTCCTTTTTCCCTCGTTTCCTCGGGCGTTCCGAGGCAAGTTTTCTCTGCATTACCTTATCCTATGGCCTTGATAGCCTTTGGGCTATCGCTTTGAACGGTTAGTACGACGACCCCTTTGACCCAGATCCCTTTGAGTCTGAATTTTAGGCGAGTTTTTTTTCGTGAATATTTATACCTATGCCCTTGAAATTCTAATCGATTTCATGACACCCTTACGAGTTTGTGCACAACGTCATCAAGATCGCTCAACTCCTTGGTGTTGCTTTTTTTGGCGTTGGGTATATTATGCAAGCGTCTTTCGACAATAGGCTGGGGAAGTTGTGGCATCCCACAGTGATTGATACAAGCAAGAGTTTCATTTGTCTCGAAGGTTTATTTGATCGATAAGGCCAAGGTATTTGCAGAACCCGTTGCGATCAATGAATCTTTTTTCTTTCTTTCTTTTTTTTCAAGATCGCTCTTTCTTCCTTCTCTCCCTCCTGATATCATTCATTGCCGTGTTTCTCCCCTCTGGTAACCTGTGCCTCATATCCTGTTCTTGAATAGATGAATGAATGAATGGATGACTGACTGCGTAGATGAATATGTGCAATGAATGATAATGGAATTCCCCTCTCTACTTGCCGCGGCAGACAGCATACTCAAATTCTCCCCGTTTCCCTTACTTGACTAAATTATTGCAGGGTGTTTCTTGGAACACAATATGCTATATGCTGGGCGAAGTCCAGTATGGCGGTCGAGTTACAGACGATTTCGATCATCACCTCCTCAAAGTGTTCGCCGAGGAATGGTTCACGGAGAAGCTCTTCGCTCCGGACTTCAATTTCTATCCTGGTTACACCATCCCTCGATGCAAGACTCCGATGGGATACCTGGAATGCATATCCAGCCTTCCTTCCTATGATTCTCCAGAAGTATTTGGACTCCATTCGAACGCGGATATCACGTACGGTATCTCAGCAGCATAGCATGTTCCGCCTTCCAGATCAGGTCGCTTCACATACCGGATTCGTTTGGTGCTATTTCAATTTCCTTTCCTTTTCCCCACCAGGTATCAGATCAATACTGCAAAAAGCATTCTGGATATGATCTTAAACATCCAGCCGAAAGAAGGAAGCAGTCTGGGAGGAGAAACTCGAGAAGCCGTCGTCTATCGCTTGGCTGATGATATGCTCTCTAAGCTCCCTCAGGAATATGTTTCTTTTGAAGTATGGACCTCTTTCGACCTTTATGGCACTCATTGCTCTGAAATCTGGGATATCATGAAGATTCATGAAATTCTATCCTTGCTAGTTCCATATCGCTGCTCTTTCTGATGAGTACCATTATGAGTATGATACAGTTGGATCCCACGCCGTCTTTCTCCATTTCTCATCGACCCGCTTTTGCGTTTCCAAGTCTGATTTTCTCAATTTTCCATGATATTACCTTGGTTTTGTGAGCATATTACAAAATAATGCTCAACTGGTTCTTTCCAGAAAGCCTTTTATTACAAAAATGTCATTTAGATAGAATATATAGTGGCTTCCAAACCGTTGCGCGATGAAATTTAGGTGCTCCCTTGCATGAATGGGAAGTACGAGGCTTCTTTAGTGGAAACACAAGTGACGTCGCAACCCCGAAATGCTTTGGATTATTTCCTTCCCATTTATTTCGTGGGTTATTGCGTAATTGAGGTTAATGGTTATTGCGGAGAGCCTGAAATACTGAAGTGTCAAGATAAAACATCAGAAGAACGAGCAAGGGTTGACTTTCATGATGCACATCTTAGCACTTACGTAACTAAGGGCACCACAAAAAAAAACTTGGAAAAGGATGCGAAAGAATATTATGAGTGGGTTTTTCGCAAATGCAAACCCCTCGGAAGTTATCAGATGCCTTTTTTGGGGGGATGTGATTTCAGGTGAAAGAAGCGATTCAAAGGATGGGCGGGCTGCTCCCGATGAACATCTTCCTTCGTCAAGAGGTGGATAGAATGAAACGTGTCGTCCAGGTCGTGAGAGTGACATTGACGGACCTGAAGCTGGCTATCGATGGAACGATCATAATGAACCAGTTGTTGAGGGAGAGTCTGGATGCCATGTATGACGCTCGAGTCCCCGAAGCGTGGAAGAAGGTCAGCAGGCCAATGACGAGCGACTTATCAGCCCAGTTTCTTCTGTTTTCCTTCCCTCCGCCTAAATTTATTATATACGCCGCGATCTGGGTAGCTTGGTCGTGGGAGGGAGAGGGAAAGACGCCAGCTTCTGTTTTCCTTCCTCATCCATCGATAATAATACTCTCGGACAGATTTCCTGGGAATCGGCCACATTGGGTTTCTGGTTCACTGAACTCATCGAGAGAGACGTCCAATTCCGACGCTGGTGTTTCCAAGGGCGGCCTCATTGTTTCTGGATGACAGGGATGTTCAATCCTCAGGGCTTCCTCACTGCCATGAGACAGGTACAATAGCTCCTCATTACTAATGACTCACGATGACAAATTCACTCTCTCTCTCCCTCACGTTTTCCATCACTGTTCCCTCACGTTCATGGATAAGGAGGTGACGCGAGCCCACAAAGGCTGGGCTCTGGACAGCGTCGTTCTTCAGAACTTGGTGACGAAGTTCAACAAGGAGGATATCACAGAATCTCCACCCGAAGGAGTGTATGTCTACGGTCTTTTCCTCGAGGGAGCAACCTGGGACAAGAAGAAAAGTAAACTCGCGGAAAGCAGGCCGAAAGTGAGATACAGTCATTTCCCTGTTTCTCCCTTCCCCTATATGGGAATGGGAAGTTTTTTTAAGCTCCATAATAAAATAAAAATAAAAATAAAAACCTACGAATACATTTTTGCAGGTGCTGTACGAGCCCCTGCCCGTGCTTTACATCTATGCTATCAACTCGACGGCAGGGAAAGACCCTCGTCTTTACGAGTGCCCTATTTATCGAAAGCCACAACGGACGGATCGGACTTACATCGGCTCGATTGACTTTGAGACCGAACAGAAGTCCAGTCATTGGACTCTCCGTGGAGTTGCTCTCCTATGCGATATAAAATAACTCTGGCTTTTGTCCACTGAAGAAGACTAATCAGCTTCATGTGATTACGGATTTCTGCTAGCGGTTCTGTGGGCCTTTCTGTTTGCTTTTGATGGCAAGGAAACAGAGAGAGAGAGAGAGAGAGAGAGAGAGATAGAGAGAGAGAGAGAATCGATCCATCCTGTTACGTGTACCTCTCTCTCTCTTCACTGGGATTATGCGAGATTTCTCATTAATAGCTGAGGATCCAACCCCTCCCTCTTTCCCACCTTTGTCTTTTCTTTTTTTCAAATAAAAGCATTCTCTATGCAGTCCTTTGTGCTTGCTTGCATTCTTATGTGTTGCATGCCGGGACTCCGCATCATCATCTTCATGCTCTCTTGTCTCCCTGCAGTTACATAACTTACTCTAGATTCCTCGTTGAAGATTTTAAACATCCGCCGGATCTCCTGGTTTGAAAGGCATGAAAAGCACAGAAGTCAGGATTGAGAGAACGTCCGTACTGGTAGTGCATTTCCGAAGATTGTTCGCTGTCGTCCCTTGAAATCACATCCTACAAACACGAATTCCATTGATTGCAATGGGGAAGAACTCATCGATGACAATGTTATTATTTTTTTATTTTCTCGCGAGTTCGGTCTGGATTAATACAGAACGGGAACGGCAAAATGAATTGTCAGCCTGTATTTCCAGAGTCGAAGGAAAATTCTTCTACTAGCGAAACAGGTGAAAAGGGAGTCAAATGTCAAGGTAGGGACTAGGAAGAGGAAAAAGGAATCAGGGATATTCCAACATGAGTTGCTAGTCAGATATTCTGCATTCCTTCCTGCCAAAGACTTTGGCGCTAGGAGTGGGGGAACTGAGGCCAGGGAACGAGAGGCGTGAAAAAAATCATGTTTCCGAATATCTATCCTAAGAGAAAGCGAGTGAAGGGGAAAGAGAGAGGGAGTGAGAGAGGCTTCCTCCATGCGCAAGATTAGAATGAATCCGTGTTGGCGGGTAGTCGGGAGGATGAAACCGGGGACGCTGGAAGCCAGTCACACTCGTTCAGTCCAGCTGCCCACGTGCCCCTAGTGGCTTCTCTTTCTCATTCCTGTGAGTCAATCCATTTGCTCTTCCTCCTACAGTTCCTGTCTCCTCTAGAATCTTTGCGCTTCCTTGCGCCACTGGCAAGCCTTGCCAGAATCATCTCACAGGGTTTACTCAGTGTTTACTTTTATCCACGCTTGCCTGCGAAGTGATAGACAGCCGTGGCAACTTCCTCCTTTAACATTCCATCAATCATGCGCTACTGTTTCGTCCAATTATCTTTCCTCAATATCCTCCCGGTTGTATGATAGCAGTGGCATACAGCGGAAGGCTGTTGTGACGTTCCTTCTTGCTTTTACCTCAATGTCTCCATTAATTCTGCGATAAGAGCTTCAGTGTTTTTTCTATTGAGTTTAAGATTTTTTCCTTTTGACTCCAACACGTTCCAGGCCGGCTGAGAGCCTTCTAAGCTTCACCTTCATGCACCACTGTAATTTAAAAAAATCTATTTACAAAGGTTTTTTTGCAAAAAAGATGAATAGCATTAAGGAAAATAATCTGGCGCGCGGTACCTCAAAGGATAAAGAGGAGAAAATGTGATGGGAAAGAAAGAAATTGTGAGGATTCTCCAAAATAAAGAGGGGAATAGAATATTGAGGAGTAAGCGAATTCGACTTAGAACCAATAAGAATACTTAGGTACTTTCGAAAATGTTAGGAAGTTCAGTTACGAGTTACCCAGAAAACGACTTAAGCTTAACTGCTAAACTGATTGCTTTGCACTGCCCTTATAAAACGTCCACCTCCTATGTGGATTTGGAACCAGGTAGATGCCCCTAAGCTGTATTTCCACCTGTTGGAACGATGTCCACCCGGGGGAAAATCCACCGGAAGGGAAACTCCACCTGGCTCGAAATACATGTGCGCGTTACTCACCCATCACTATCGGACTCAACATATAAAATGCTGAATTCTCTTCAGCATTTTCAGTGAAATATTGCGACGATTTTACTCCCTTTTGCCATGTATATATATCACATGATCGAGGCTTTGCAGTGATGGATTGGTCATGTTGCCATCACGATGACGTATCGAGTAACCTGCAATTAATCTCTCAGGGAGCCAACGTAGGCGATGGTTCAGCTACGAAGAACCGCTCATAATAGTTCGTTTGGAAGAAAAAATTTTGACCACAATATGCAGATCTGTCAGACCAAAAGCAGAAAAACTCATCCAGAATCTGTGACGAAATTGGCGTGCAGACCTTTCTCGGAGGGGTGTTCGCCTACCCACCTGAGGGAGGTACCACCGTCCAAATCCGAAGACGAAAGTCTTCTTTTCTTAAAAAGATATCCGTGCCAAATCAGATCAGTGAGAGTAATCGACTAAAGAGGAGGTAGCAGTAGACTGATGGTTGGAACGTAAAAGAGAGTCAGATATGTTTCAGCTGACAGTGATGTTCATGGTTCTGGTTGTGCGAAATATTCACACAAAAGCACAGCATGGAAAGGCACGAGGGGGCCTTCTAGGCAAAGAATCGCAGTGCAATACGGTCCCCTCCCATACAACTTCTCACCCGTCAGTCCTTGTTTACGTTTCACCCGAAACTGAGCAGTATTTATGGAGAGGCCCGACTAGTCTCCATCGGACTATTGATGAGCACGAGCACATTCGTTTTGTCTACCCTCCTTACTCCTTAGTAAACTGTGCACAAATTAAGGAAATTGATTCAGTGAAACGTCACCTCAGAAGCAGTCGGGAAGTCCAGAGCTTTTCGAAGCGTTTTGCATGGAGACACTGCTCGCTATCCCCCTGACAAAGCATTTTCGACGGAAACACCTCCCCCTTAGCTACGTCCCAGCCCACGTCAAAGTTACTGCATGGAGCTCAAACAAGACACAGAGCTTTTACGAGTGTTGATACCTAGGTGGTACCCAGACATCATGTGATCTTACGCCCCGCTCAAACTTTAGAGTCCCTTGCAAAACGTCCACCTCCCATGTGGATTTGGAACCAGGTGGATGTGTCCCTAGGCGTATATCCGCCTGTTGGCGCGATGTCCACCCGGGGGAATATCCACCCGGGAAGGAAAAGCCACCCGCTCGAAATACATGTGCGCGAATGGGGATGTGGATTTCCACCGGGTGGGACGTCCACCTGGTTCCAAATCCACCTCATATCCACCTGGTTGAACAACCAGGTGGATACAGGTGGATATTTTGTAAGGGCGTCTGCACCCTACTGCATGACATCATATAAAAAAGATACCATATTGAGATCAAATATCTTATTTGTGTACGTAATGAATACCAAGGGCTTCCATCCGAATCAGTCGGTTTTCACAGAAAAACTCTCCAGGAGTTATTTTGCACTGCAAGTTTATTCTGCAAAGATAGGCTCTCTCCTAGGCGGCACGGTAGAGCCCTCGTCAGTGCAGATTGCTCCTGAGTGTTGTCAACACTCTGCAAAGAGAGATTCGGCGGGACCTATAATGTGGTAAAAGCTTTGATGAGGGTCTGAAGGACTTTACTTGTAGCTCGGACAGCCGGGAGCGGGAATCATGTGCAGGTCTCCGTTTAACAATAGATAGGGGTCCTTAATGTCCAGACGGCATTGATCGTCCGAGGCGTTTTCATGCTGGGTAGACTGCAAGAATATCCTCTGTGTTACGCAATCACTGTATTCGTGGATTATCCAAGATAGTGGCTACCACCTACCGGAGTGGACAGGGTTGATTGTGATCTTTCGTAGGACGTTGAGAACCCGTCTTGCTGACTCACCAACCCAATATGGAACTCGAATTCAGCAAGTCACGATCAGAGTATATAATTAACAGGTTATTATAGATTTTAGACCGTGATTGAACTTATTTCCATCCATTTGCTTTATAAAAAACATTGTATCATATAAAACCCTATAATTTTCTCGTATGCGTAGCATTTTATTTGTTAATATTAATTTAATTCGTTCCTCGGTTTTCACATTCTCGCAAAATGAATCAGGTTTACATTTCTCCCATATTCGAAAACTGTATCTGTCAACTGACAACAAAAGAAAAAAATAGTTATACTTGACTCAGTCACCCTACGTCATTCTACGTAGCTGCAGCCAAGTCCCTATAAAAAAAATAGCATCGCCCCAGGGGGGAGGAAGAGATCAAAGGGGACCACACATGGGTAGTCGCCATACAAATAAGAGAGAAAAGAGATTCAGTCACGTTCCCCTCCAGCCGTTTATGTCCGAAGTGGAGCTGGTTTCTCACAAAGTCCAGCTTCGAACTTAAAAAAAAAATTTTCTGTATACGTAGAGAGGAGGCTGACAGGAGACAACTGACTTAGAACGAGGTATGTATGCAAGATCTTCCAGCTTGTGTGACTCTCTCCCTGTGTTTTAACCTGACAGGAGACATAGGCCTACCGTTGCTGTAATAAATATTAGGGCTGCGATTCCATCGAAAACTTTAATCCGATCACTCGTGGGCGGCGTGGTCGATTGAACGATCCATGATCCCCTCAGAATCTGAAACGGAAACAGAAAATTCTAAAGGAAGTGAAGGGAGACGTCACCTTGCTCATCCGCAGAATGACGAAGCTGTCATCGTGTCGTTCCTCGTGCAATGGCATGATGGATGCATTTTTCGGCAGGCCATATTACCTTCTCTTCCCCAAATGATCTTCAGTTTCGGATATTTTGGATCCATCAACCTTTCTGGGCAGGATGCATTAGAGACGAGATATGATGATCAATTTTAATATCGTCTTTGCTCTTAACAGACGGAGAAATAAACATTTTCACACCTGGGGTACATAACTTCTTCACAGAGTTTAAGGCGCCTGGAGAGAGAGCATCCTGTCGGTACGAACGCTTTATGATAGACATTTTTGGCGCACATCATGCAGCCTGTCGCCGTAACCTATGAAACTCATCAGGGGCAAAAGGAGCCCATCCCATCACGCCGTGCAGTCTTCCGACCTACTTTATCGCGCAAAAGCCGAAGTGGGGAGAACTCCGCTATAAAGAGGCATCGGGCATATCCCATCGCAAGTGCTTCTGTCTCCCATTCGTGGCTCTTCGCCCGTGAGCATTTTGTCTTCCGTGGACCTGGAGATTTGTCACTGGGATTTCCTCCGCGTTGTCTTTTAACGAGGTCGTTCATTCATCGTTCCTCAAGTTCCTAACAAGCGATCTAACGACTTCATAATTTTTAGAGGGTGAGGGGGGGGGGGGGGGGGTTTTTGT